ACAGCGCCACTACCCTCGTAACCCTGCGATGCAAGCGGTCATCAACGATGAAGTAGCTGCCATGTTGAAGGATGGTGTAATTGAACCATCCGAGAGTCCATGGAGCTCTCCGATCGTGTTGATCCGAAAGTCGACTGGGAAATACCGCTTTTGCATCGACATGCGCCGGGTGAACGACTCCTCGATCAAAGACGCCTATCCTCTGCCTAGGATTAACGCCATCCTTGAGAAGCTCAGGCAGGCCAAGTTCATCAGTACCTTGGACCTGAAGCAAGGCTACTGGCAAGTGCCACTGGCCGTCGACAGTCGCCCCGTGACCGCCTTTACTGTGCCAGGCCTAGGCCTTTTTCAGTTCAAGGTCATGCCGTTTGGCCTACACTCGGCCGGTGCCACCTTCCAGCGCCTTCTGGATCGAGTCATCGGGCCTGAGCTGGAGCCGATGGTCTTCGCGTACCTTGATGACCTTGTGGTAGTGTCAACATCTTTCGAGGAACATCTAGAACTTCTAGGGGTTGTTTTTCGCCGCCTACGCGAGGCGGGCCTTCGTTTAAACCCCGAGAAGTGTCACTTCGCCCGTAGGGAGCTGAAGTATTTGGGACACATCGTGAGCCAAGATGGAATTGCCACGGATCCTGAGAAGGTCCGCGCCATTCAGGATATCCCCGCACCCACGAACGTCAAGGGACTTCGCAGTTTCCTAGGCCTTGCGTCGTGGTATCGGCGATTCGTCGAGAAGTTCGCTTCAGTAACCATTCCGCTTCGAGGTTTGCTGAAGAAGAACGCCAAGTGGCTCTGGGGACCCGAACAAACTAAGGCATTCGAAGCTCTGAAGCACGCCTTGGTGACGGCCCCGATTCTCGCCTGTCCCGACTTCAGCCAACCCTTCGTGCTCCAGGTCGACGCCTCGAATTATGGCCTGGGAGCAGCGTTAACTCAGAGTGTAAACGACCGAGAAGTGGTCGTTGCGTATGCCAGTAGGCTACTCTCTGAGGCCGAACAGAACTACACGACTACTGAGAAGGAGTGTCTCGCTCTCGTGTGGGCTGTTCGGAAATTCAAGGCTTATCTCGAAGGCTACCACTTCATTGCGATAACCGACCATGTCGCCCTAAAATGGCTGCTTAAGCTCAGTGAGCCTAGTGGGCGCCTGGCTCGGTGGGTTATGGAGTTGCAGCAATTCGACTTCGAGATAAGGTACCGCAAGGGGACAGCGAACAGAGTGGCAGACGCCCTGTCTCGTCAGCCGGTCCCTGAAGTGCCCAGCTCGTCTGGTGAACCCGATCAACCTACGTATGAGGTCGGAGTTTTAACCAGACGCGGTGCTAGGGAACAGTTGCGGTTACGACGCCTAACCGATGCTGAAGGTGACGAACCTTTACTCGGTGATGATCCGGCGGGTGACGTTATCGATCACGAAGCTCCTGGTCCGACGCAGCAGGAGACTGACGACCCATCTTCCGACGTGGACAACGATGGTAACCCGCCGGGCAGCCACAGTGCTTGGTATGACCGCCTTTGCAATCTGGTCAGCAAACACCCTAGGCGATACTCGAGATACCAGCTTCGCGGCGGTAAGCTGTACCGTGCAGTCTCGAGGAAGGATCGACCTACGACATGGAGGGTGTGTGTGCCAAGCGACCAAGTATCCGTGGTGCTGCACGAAAACCACGACACGGCTACGGCAGGACATCTTGGGGTGAAGAAAACGTTAGCCCGAGTTGGTGGGGAGTACTTTTGGCCTAACTGGCGTCGTGAGGTGAAGGCCTATGTACGGTCTTGCGCCCAATGCCAGGCCTATAAAGTACCCCAAACGAAACCAGCTGGGAAAATGTACTTCCGACAACCCCAAGGACCGTGGTACGCAGTGTCTGCTGACCTGGTAGGCCCATTGCCTAGATCACAACGGGGTCAGCGATTTCTGCTCGTGGTGCAGGATACCTTCAGCAAATGGACGGAACTCGCCTCCATTGCGTCTGCAACCGCAAAGAATGTGGTGACAAAGCTGAAGGCTATCCTACTTCGACATGGAGCTCCGGATGTGTTGATTACGGACAACGGCACGCAGTTTGTCGGTAAACTGGTTCGAGAGTTGGCGGCGGAGTGGGGCATCACGCTGCAGACGACGGCCCCCTACAGCCCGCAGTCGAACCCAGTCGAGAGGCAAAACCGGGTGGTGAAGACCATGATTGCACAGTTCGTAAAAGGCAACCATAGGTCTTGGGACAACCACCTGGTGGAGTTTCAGTACGCCCTGAACACAGCTGTCCACGACTCTACCGGATTCACTCCTGCGATGCTGTGTTTCGGACGCGAACTGAAGCCTCCCTGTGCCGTCCGTGGCCTTTCGTTTGAGGTGTCTGAAACTCCCCAAGGTCCCTCGTTAAGTGAGGCCCATCGCAAACGACTAGATGAGTTTCAGCGTCTGATCACGCAGACACACAAGAACCTCAAGGCTGCCTACGAGAGGCAATCGACATACTATAACCTCCGTCGTAGGGAGGTGACTCACGAAGTTGGCGCGCAGGTGATGAGAAGACTTCACATCCTGTCTTCCGCTGCGGACGCCATCGTAGGGAAATTAGCACCAAAATATCATGGCCCCTGCATTGTGGTCGGTCGTCGAGGTGCTAATCTCTTCGAGGTACGAGATGAGGATTCTGCTGCGGTGCACGTCGTGCACGTGAAAGACTTAAAACCTTTCTGTGCACGTGACTAATATGCAAGGATCCCGCAACCGCAGCAACGTATTGCGATCCGTTTGTTCGTCAGTCCTTTCAGCCACGTCAAGCTGCCGACAAGCAGCCATAGATAACCCTCGTCTGGGGGGTGACGTATCATCGTGAGAAGCTCTTCGCCGCACGTCCGAGACCCCGAGCCTGCCGTACTACCCTACCTTCGTAAACCCCACGCCTACTCTTCACCTTTGGTTACTTTTCGCCCCGAGTCGTTTTCGCCTAGACCTCTGAGGCAACTCGGCCTCAGACTGTCTACATCATTTGTAACTTCGTCCATTTTTCGTCGTCAACACCCTGGAGCAGTCGGACCAACGGGGTCCGGCATCGGCTTCTGTTAACTTTTCCTGCCCACGATCCTACTGATGCGTCATCTGCAGGAAAGTTCAACAGCTTTTTTTCTTTTTTCTCGCTTTTCTTTTTTTTCGTTCCGAAGTGTGGAGGGGGTGTAACGGTTCAAATGTGTAGGGGGTAAAATAACGGCTAAACCACGAACTTTAAACAGCTAAACATAAGCTGTTGAGTAAGCCTAGTCGCGACACTAAACTGACATCGTACCTAACCTCAAATACCAAGACCGCAGACGACGTTGGTGTCAGTTTGGTTGTTTGGGTTGTTCGACTGCGTCTGAGGGCGGGCTACGGGAGAGAATAAGAGCAGCTGATCCACCTTGTGAGCGAGGCAGCTATAAAGCCTGTTAAAGCTGCCATGCGCCTGCCTTCGCTGCCAGTTTTTTTCGGTTTCTGTAACTCGTTGACCAATCAGGAATCGTTTTAACTTTCGTCTCTATTCTGAGACGAAGGTGAAGTAAGAAGAAGTTTTGTGAAGTTTTAGTCATTCGTAATCCCGGCTTTTCGTAAGTTTGTTTCGCTTTTGGTTCGTTCTCGAAAATTCGTGCAAGTTAAAGTTCGTATCGCAAGCTCTGAAAGCTTAAGTTCGTACGTATAGTTTTGTAGTGAACTGGTGCAGGAACATAGTGGGTTATAATTTCGTCGACTGGTGAGTTTCGTAGTTAACTTCTCTGGTTGTCGTATATTACTTGACCAGCTTTCGTGTACGAAGCTTGGTTGAACTTGAAGACTAGGCCTGATACGCAGACCTAGTCACACGCCTTAACCAACTAATTTAGTAAAGTATTGCAGTTGGTGAAATATATTTTCGCTTAACGTTTCATAATCCGTATTTGGGACTTACTTTTTAATTCTTAAATCTGTTATAAAGTTCCCGAACGCCCCGAAGTTGGCCCCAGCAGACAGGTTTCTGCTTGATAATTATTGCAGAAGTTTGCTTAAGTTGAACACGTGGGGAAGTTGAAGTTTTAGTTTTTTCTTTTTTCGTATCAGCTCTTGAAGCAGTTTTATTTTTAGTTTCAGTTTTTCTCCCGTTTCGTGTCTCACTTGGACAACTTAAGCCAACTCGTTTTCTTGTCTAGTAAATTCAGACTCTGTGGGAGTTAGGCTAGGTTAGGCCTATCTTGTACTAACCTTGTTTGTTTCAGGGTGACGACGTAACTCCGTAGGTAAGCGGAGTGCCTACTTAGCTTACTTGTTGATTTGTTAAGTTAGCTAGTAGTGTGTCTTTTAGATATTTGCCCACAGAGTCAAGTCAAAATTATTTATTTCCCCACAAGCCCTAGGCTAGAGTGGTGATTTCGAGTAGGGTGTTTGGTAACCCGCAACGTTCGTCTCGAGCTCTGACAACCAGGGCTATCAAAGTTAGGCTATCCGAATCACTATCGACTCCTGGGAAACTCCCCGCGACCAGACTAGGGCGAATCCTGGGATCTCGTTTTCTTACCGGTGGCGTAATTTACCTCTTGTCGTCCGCCAGGAAAATTACGTCACAATTGTATGGAAAGAAAATGCTAAATTTTAAGTTTTTAGGGTCAAAAATGGGAAAACCAATTTTTACCCCATAAAACCCCTCATAAACCCCTGTTCCCATAGTCCGATCATGCTGGTTTATGAACTCGTTAGAATAAATGTAGGTTTACACGTTTGTACCAAATTTCCTCAAAATCGGATTATTTTTGCTCGATTTATCGCGCTAACAGACACATATATAAATATATATATATATATGAATTTGAACGGATGGTGATTTTGGCCTCTAGGGACCTCAAAACAAAAAAGGAAATCGGTCCCGGGTCCAGGTCTTACCATGAGTACTACGGTAATAGCTTATTCCCTATAGGGAAATTTGCTAAAAACTAAATAAAATTTAAAAAATCATAATGGGTTGGTTTTGGAAGCACTCTACTTAACTTACTTGGTGTTTTAACTCGTTCAAATCTCTTGTAGCTAGGTAGAAGATATCCAGGAAAAGTCTACTAAACTGGTTGAATAATTCTTTTTCATCTTCAGCTTCAGGACTTACTGTCATCAGGATCTTCATAGCATCATCTAAAAAAAGAATAATACTGCATTGATCATTAAGACCTTTGGTGGAAATGAGAGCAAATTAATTTAATACTTATACTTAAATACTTTTCAATGAAATGGCGACCATACAAAGTAGGTATTTTAAGCCAAGTATGAATGGAGATAAGTGTAGGATGAGTGGCGCGATCTTGTAGTCTTGTTAGTGACTAAGGCCGACTTATTCCTTAGACACAGCTGTTAATTAATAGCCCATACAGCTAATGGCATCTAAGGGACCTACAGTTTATAGTGGAATCTGAATTTTGCTTTGGTATAGACGAATTGGTATAATTTTTAGGATAGTACTGCGGATAATCGTAGTACTTACTCGTGCGGACCTTAATCCACACTAGAAAGTATCGCATCCACAGTGCATGCCTATAAATATCCACAATTTGTAACCTCCTAGTAGTTGGATTACAGGACGACTCAACCCATCCCAGTGATTTCAGCAGAAGACAGCTGCAGACAACTGGAGCTACCAATATCACTGTCAATGAACAGTCCAAACTACTAGGCTAGACCATTGATGCTAAACTCTATTGGACAGAACATGTAAATAGCCTGAGCAAAAGACTAGGATCTGAAATTTGTGTAATGCGTGGAATTAAATGGATGGAAGCAACTAAGATTGCATTCTATGATTTAGTACAGTCCTACTAAGATATGGATAAGTGATGTAGGGTGGAACCAAACAACAGAACCTTACAAGAATACTGCGACTTCAGAAAAAAGCTATAAGAACGCTAGCTGACCTCAGTCCTACAGAATGCTGCAGGAATCTTATAAATCACTAAAAAGCATGACATAGGGGTTAAGGGGGTGTGATAGTTCCTAGGACAGCCCAAGGCTGCACTGATATCCGAAACTGAGGAACTACTTCTCCCCCAGGGTCTTTAGAAATGGTGCTCAAGACTGTCCGAGAAGGCCAGTACAAATTTAAGTACAGGCCTGTGTAGTCCAATGACTGCACCGTTCACGTCGTGGCCCCTGTCACGCTGATCTCGGCGGATCTAGGCTAGAGTCCCGAATGACTCTCTGGTGGGGGGCAGCAGCACCATCAGAACTGGGTGTTTCGTACTGGTCTAAGACAAGGCTTGCAGAGCAGGACGCTCACCCAGACGTTCAGTCTTAGCAATAACTACGACTGAGCACTGCGGGCCCTGGGCTAAGGTGGAATGCGACCTGTGCTGAGAGCCTTGCGGCACTGGGGGCCTAATACTCAGTGTCTGAAACGGAGCCTTCTGGGAACCAGGGGGAACCCAGTCGTATGAACCCCTTACCTCTCTAATCGGGTCCCTGGGGAGGTGGACCTTTAAATACCCAGGACTCGTGGGAACAAAATGGATGTCCAAAAAATAGTTAGTGAGCAAACTAGTTAGTGACAAAACCAAGACTGATGAGCAAGGAGAGAGTGACCGACTGGTCGAAAGCACTCCTATTGCTAGTGCTTTCGTAGAAGATCCGACCCAAATGGAGGAGGAAGGCCTACTAAAATCTGATGATGAAGACAAGCTCCCGGAAACTGGAAAGGAAAGAAAAAACAAACGACTTTCCAGGGGAGAGCTACGAAGACGGAGGATAGCGGAAGCTTTAGCCAAAGGCGAAAAGGTGCTATCCAGAAGTGAGAGGAGGCTGGCGTGGGCTGCCAAGCACCCGAACTCTGCTCCCGGCAAAGCTGGATCCCCTGGGAACCAGGATGCGGGGGAAAAGCAGGGCGAGGGCGGCACTCCCAACCTCTTAAAACAAGAATGACTTAACGTGAAGTTATAACTGTTCCCATGGACCACTTGATATAATTTAGTATAAGTGATTATTTTAAACAACTCACTTTCAAAGACTGGATTCCATTTTTTTTCCTAAAATGATGGAAAAACTTAAACATACTGTAGTAATTAGATGTCAGCATAAAATTGCCGCCTGAAATTTAGAAAAGTAACAGGAAATCTAAAATAAAATATTTGACTCCAAGTGAATAATACTTAATAATCTATAGCATCAACTTTAACACAAATAATATTGTTTGTTTGCACTGTTGAGGATTGAAGGCATTGGTAAATTAGTTGAGGATGAGTCCTCATGTTTTAGGACAGCTTGTGTTACTCAAACAATTTGGAGCTTACCTTTGGTATACTGGGGAAAGAAAACCCTCAAATGAGGGACAAACGTAGTGTGTTTCTCTGGTAGGATTTGACTAATGAATACCACACACAGATGGGGCATGTTCGTGAGCTCTTGGAGCTTCTGGAACGCTTGGAAGTAATGATCGCCAAGGTCAAAAAGTCGCTCACAGTTGTCCAGGACCTAGAACAGTATTGGAGAATATTAGGTTTAATGTATAAACCTGAGCATGATTTACATAATAATTAATCAATGACAAAATAACAAAAAATTAAATAACAAGCAACATTTCATTAAAAAAGGAATAAATATATAATGTTATTTAATTAATAAGAAGATAGTTCTGTGAGCTAGTCACATATTGCGCGAGTGTCAAAAAACTGTATTTCTTAAGTTATATTTTGTTACTGAGTACTGAGATAATAGACAAGACATAATCAGAGGTCAAGGTATAAAGAACTTTCAAAATCTTAGTATAAACTCAGGAGTAAAGAAGTTAAGATCTAATAAGAGACCATAGTGCTTGAATTTGAATTTAAAGGTTGCTCGTTGATTTTTAAGTTTAATTGGTCCAGTAGCATGTCAAAGAATGATGGATGTAAAAATAGGTGTATTTCTATCTGAGGTATATCAACTATATTCCTGCATTATTTTAGATCAACTGGTCCAGTGGTTTTCACATGATGGTCCATATAATATAGACTAACTAGAGAACCCGTGCGGCTCAATGAGCCGCATAGTATGAAACATAACGTCGAGGAAAACGTTATGCTTAAATTCGAGTAATTCTAGTTACATCTTAGAGTTGTTTAAACACTTGTTAGAAACTAATTTTAAATATCTCTATTTGTGTCTATTGCCTACATTATTGCTGCTCTCAGTTTTAACTAATAACTTCTAATGAGTGCAGTGAACATGAAGTTCACTAACGATCTGCCTCAATTCGAGTGAACATGTTGCAACAAAGTTTTTTCAGCATTGAGAATTGAAGAAAACTGTTGCCTTACTTATAACCTGTGTTAAATAATTTAAATTGGGACATTTTATTTCTTTGATTTGAGACATCCCCCTAATCAAACGAATTTTCTCCGTAGAGTATCCTAAAAAGTGGGGTGATATCAACCATTTTCATGTGCTCCATATTTTTTTCTGCAAACTCTGGGTTACCAACTGGACAGCTATAATCTGCTTTGAATAGGCTAAAGCAGCAACACCATTGAAAGTTGGTTATCATATATTAACGTGTTGTCAGTCAGTCACAGTATATGCCTCGCATCAGAACGTTCTCATGTTGTTCAGTGGAGTTTCTCTTAATAACTGTCCCAAAGTATGGATTCATTTGTCGAAATAGGTTAGATAACTCTCGTAGCTCTAAGATTTTGATAGCAATTTTCATTTTCCTTTTTAAACAGCGTATATTATGTGCCTCTCCTGAATCCTAAAAATAAACTTGACCGTAACTACTCGATCGTTGAATACATAAACACTAATTCCTTCACTTATGTTTAATCTAATATTGCCACTAAAACTTTTAATAGTTTTTGAAACTTCTTATTTTGGACTGGAAATGTCTGGATTGTGTTGGTGAATTCAGTCAAACAAATTTGTATAAGTTTGTCCGAGGAACTGGCAACATAACCTAGAAGTAAACAATCTATTTCCGTTTTTTATCTATTGAAGTAGAGCGAGTAATACTAATACAAAAGTTTGCAATAAAAACATAAGGTCCGCCAGAATTTGGTATAATCTTACTACCTACTTGAACTTATCATAGTCAAGGCATTAATATAGTTTGTACTAAATGTTTGGAAATATATCGATCTGTCAGTGTCAGAAGTAAAAATTCTTTGCTTGCATTCATTTGATCTAGGCAAGTTTACTTTACCACCGTGACAACACTATGTGCTTCGTATATTTTATCATTTCCAAAGTAAGTTGCATAGCAGAACTGGTAAATATTATTCATCTCACCAAGTGAATTTGTATCTAGATGGGTATCTGTTAGACCAGATCTCTCTTTTTCTACTCACCTCATAGGCATAAGTGATCTTACTATTGATTGTCTCCTCCTCCCGTTTTCAATATTTCTTCTTTGAACTTGAGGCATTTTCTGTTCTTCCAACAAAACTGATTCACTTTTTAACCTGTTCTTAACCTACTGAATATTACAAACAATAATGTTTACTTCCAAAAAGCTAATGAGTTTCTTTTTATAAACAGCTGTTTTTTTGTTTTTAAATTTGTTCTATGCATTTCTTATGGGGAAAAGCCGACCTTTGAGAGGGTCTCACGCCCATAAGAGTAGGGATTTTAAAATTCTAAAACCTTATTGCAAAACTACATATTGAGACGAATCTTTTGACACCTTAAACGTTGAAATTGGTCTACAAATAAGGGAGGAGTTGCGTTAACAAAAAACGGCTTCACGTATTATATATATAGATTTCCAAACTTTTACATAAGATAAGATAACCAAGAACTTACGATAACGCACGACTTATCCCTCAGTTGTTGCTTTTGGGCAGCTATCTTGAGCTGTTTGACAAGGACCATCATGTTGTCACATTTCTCATTCCCAGAATCCTTTGTGTACTCTCCATCTGTGGGACGGACAAAATGTGTTATAATCCATATTTTCTAGCCCCTGAGCTGGTTCTATAACTAAATTGAAATTTTACCTTTGTCATCCAGCTCCTGATTTATTTATAATAAATCACAATAAATCAGGAGCTGGATGACAAAGGTAAAATTTCAATTTAGTTAAAATGTGTTAGTAAAATTTTCAAAATCTGCTCCCTTTCCTCAAATCAATCAGAAGTCAAAACGTTTCATCATAAAAATGGTACCAACAGCTAACGAGTATTCTTATGAGTGCAGCATTGTCAAAGTATTGCAGGCAAGATTTTCTGTCCCAGCACTGCCTTGTCAACTACTGGGAAACTTTCATGTGAAGTTCACCCTAGCCGCTATTGGGACTACAGACTTAAGGAAGCCAATTTTGGCATAGCAGTCTAGGAGCTATAAAATGGATTAGGCCTATTAAAATTTATATAGTAAAAACGTAACAATACACACAGTTTTTTACTAGTATTATGAGTTTACAATTTTGCCTTGATTATATGACGGGTGACGATAGGCTTAATGATGTCTCTGCAATCGCGGGAGACGATGACAATTTTGTTGCCATTGCAAGTAAAGATGATGGTGTTTAATGACATATTTTGTAGAGTGCTCCGCCGTGATAAAAGATTGCATCAAATATGTTTTTATTCTGTTCTTGTTACTTATGTTCTTTTACTAATTGTTTGTGTTTAGTTTTATACAGCTTTTCCTAAGAGCATTTTAAATACTTTCTCTTGTAACGCTTCAGCATTTTAAGTACTTTTCCATTAAATCCTTAAGTAAAAATGCCAACAGGGTAGACACCAAGAACAAAAATAGATCTGATATAACAAAAAATACTTCCATTTTTTTCTCTCAAGACTCGAGTGAAAATACCAATTGGCAAATTAAGCTCAGTTTGACTTATTTCACTCACCTAGCAGGCCGTCCAAGATAGGCTCTAATAGCAGACGAGGTGTGTAGCACTCGATGCAGTTGACGAACGCAAACTGCAGCGAAGCTAGGTTAAGCAAAGCTTGAACCACTTGTGTTTTGCCAGTAGCTGTGTCTCCGTAGATGTAAATACACTCTGGTAGAGGGTCACCAGCCTACGACAAATGAAAAAGCAAGTATTTGAACAAAATCCAACATACAATGTTATGTACGAGAATGAATACTGTTGTGGTTATCATGCTTTGTCAATTAAGGCTGTCATTAATAACGATTATGAATTTAATTGCTAACAAGAGGGCTTAAGTGCAAAGTGCACATGCATTAGTAGAGTTCAAAACTTGTTATAGAAACCAAACGCACAATGAAATTTAACCTTTTACTTTAAAAAGTGTTGCTTGTTTAAGACAGTTATTAGGTAAACAAAACTTAATAATTTACAAAAAAATTAATTTGTTGATTATGGAAGATATACAGTGCCTTATTGAGTGATTTACCTAAGTTACCTCAATTAGGTTAGAATTTCAATAAAAGTAGCCTCTGAATATTTAACACATTCGCTGCGGCTCATCAAATAGCAGGCGTAGCTTCAGTGTGGCGCAGCCCGCAGTGTCGAACAAGTGATTGGCTTTTGAATTTCAGTCTGACGAATAGCAAATACGCTTTACAATGAGAGTCGATGTAGTTTGCTAAAACACCCACAGATAGCTGCACTACTTGGAACATAGTCGGTCCCATTGTATTGCCAATTGGAGGAAGAAAGAGGGGACAACAAGTTGATTTTTAAGCTTGCCAGACGGGGACTTTACTAGGAAATTTACTGCCAACCTACACCACAACCAAAAAGCAAGTCACACACTAAGTACGGTAACGTGGTAGGTCCACCTTTGACCGACGCTAGAGCAAAAACAAAGATATACAAAATGTATTGCCGAGCGTTCCCGATTGGGTACGGACACACTCTATGGGCGCCAAGCACCGTACCCAATCTGGAGCGGCCACATAAAACGTGTTAAAAGCCATTTTCATTAACTTTGTTGTCTTTGTTTACTAACTACCTTACTAAGATCAAACATTCAATTAGCTTACAATTCACAATTTAACCGAAATAAAGACATTTGGTCAGCATCACTGGATTTTTGAAACTAAAAATAAATCAAACACTAAAGTGGGTGAAGCCCTTAATGAAATTAGATCAGTGACCATAAGTCACTCTGCTGGCTTCGAAACGACACTTCATCGTAAAAACTGGTTAAGTAGGAAGGGCAAAAATGGGATGTATCAGATACACTTATTGTATTACCGGTTCGAATTGGAATATAACATCTAGGTGACATTTTAACATCACAACTTATATTCTGTATGGAACGTATCTCCTGACCTTCCATCTACCTGTGGACTAGCCAATGGTTTAAGGCCCGGGCAGCCCCAGAGACGGTGGGTATGAAACAGAATCCGGATCATAAACATACAGCGTAATAAATAGGTCTACTCACAGTTCCTAGCAAGTTGTACAGAAGTTCTATCTGTTTCTGTCTGCCAGGGTACATTTGATTTAGTGTCTCAATAGTTTCCAAGGCCATTATCATCTCATCGTCTTCCTCCTAAAATTCACATATTTGTCAGAGATTGAACTACCGGTACCTAATAAATATTGACTTTAGAAAGTTTTGTACTTTTTACACAAATATTATTAGGCTATCTTTTGAATTTTTCCTACGGATCTTGAGACTTGTTATTATGTATTGTAGGGTAGAAGAGACACTTTGGAAAAAATTTAACTTGGGCCAGTTTTTTTATAAATGGCAATTATACTTTTCTTACAGTTACCTGACAAAGCAGGCTTTCTTGTACTGATTATAGCAAGCAAATGAGCTAATTGCTGCATTTACTTAGGCTACATTTGCCGCACTTTAAATAGTAGGTCTATTCCAACCAAATAACACAAAACAGCTTTAATAAGGCTTATAATACGTGTACTGTTGAAAATAAGTTGGCAACACTTAAAGATGCTACGACTGCTATCAGCTGGTGCAGTGTTTTGTACATCATTTGAGCTGGGTCAACTTAATCCTGAGATTTTATACAAGTGATTAAACGGGCTGGTATACAACAAGCTACATGTAACAAGCTGAAGGCTTGTAAAGTTTTCCTGCATATCTAACGGGATGAAAACCAAAAACAAAAACAGCATGGGCTACGATACTACGTGCAATGCTATGACTTGCAACCAAATGACAGTAGAAAATCAAAGAGACTCATTAACAAAAAACAAAACTTAAAACATCAAAACTTTAAGTTAAAAAATATTCAAAATAAATAGACAAAATATAATACTGTACCAGAATATGGCGGTAAATAGCCTACATGAAATAATATTCTAATTAAAGACAGATGCATATAAACTACACAAAAATACCAGACAGTAGCCTAACTAATCACAGCAAACACATAATAATTTTCACAATGCCAATTGTATCGTTACGAAACATATTTATCTTAAATGTAATTGCAAATAATTTTTAAAGGGGTTGCCTTAGGAATCATTAAATAATAAAATACTATTATATAGGCCTACAAAAGGTTAAATAAAAGGAATCCATAGTTTACAGTTTAGACATGCACCCTGAACCCGCAGCTGTGCTGTAATAATTAATGGTAGGCCTATGTCCGCTCTGTCCTTTTTGGTAAAAATGTGTGTAGGCCTATGTGATTGTTATTTTTTTATATGTTTGAAGACTTTCTGACGAGGAACAATATCTTTACATCGTAGGGCTTGACAATGGCACTTTTTAAGTGTGTCAAAACTGGTCGCCACATGACTCTAAGGATTATGGCAATGAATTTCAGCTCTTGCATATTAGCCTATAATTATTTAGTAATCTGGAAAGCAACGTCCCAGCCTTTCACTGCATAGCCTAGGAATTAGGTCTACTTAACAGCAGGTCATAAAACTATCATGCGTATCCTACTGTTAGTAATTAGGAAATTTAACCACACAAAACTAGCCTACCCACAGATACCATTTCAATCTAAGTAAGTACATAATGGTACCAAGCGAAAACACACAAAACTAAGCAGTAACTATGATTAAATTTTTTTCAAGAATAAGCAAGCAGTTTATAACAATAAAAAAAATCCCATGCATTATCACAAACAACAAGCTTAAATAACATTAAGTATTAATTACCTATGGGTTACTTAAAGGTCTGAAGTCTAAAGCTTTAATTACCACCACCTTGGCCTTCACTTGCTCTCTGTTCTTACCTCAAAATCGTCACAATCCATTTGTTTGGAACTCATATTAAGTTATTAATGGCCTACCGAATTCCTCCTCCACTTTAGGACTGCATCTTCAGAATTTCATCTGGGGGTAAACAAGTATATTAGCCTAATTTATTCTGTGCTTTTAAGATTATTAAACTAGGCCTAGCTAAATTGGAGTGTTGCATTGGACTTCCCAATGTCACAATGTTCAATGACATAAGTCAGTGTCACAGCATCCAAAATGTAATTTTTGAGCTGCCTCAACACGTCCAATATAAACTATAGGCCTATCTATTCAACTGTTTCACAACGTCCAAATCTTAAGTTATCATGTCCAAAAATGCAGTACATAACTGCAAGAAACGTAGTCTTTCTACAAGCTTTCTAAATCATGGGATTGGTCGTTGTGCAACAGCGTACTTTTCAAGTTTGGTTAGTTAGTTTAACCTAACCTATAACTAACCGAATGAAATAATCGATATATCGAATAATCTATATACAAGTTAACCATATATTTCATTCGAATGAGTGTAGGACGTAAACTAAAGTGCAGCCTAAATAAATTTACCCAAGTTACCGAAGACAGTTTAATTTCATATTTCCCTAGCCTATTGCACACAAATACAACCTAACTTAGGCCTAGCCTACATTGTACTGATTTAGGTACATAAACGTAAGGCTCTTAAACTAAAAATAGGAGTTTCCTGCCAAAAGAGTTAAAATTAAGTTGTAGGGTAGGGCCTAAGCTAAATTGTTATGTACATCACCAAATACATTGAGTGTTAATATTGTATGTACACAAAGAAATACAACTAACCCTAACCCATGTTTGAAAAAATTACAATCTACACAAAAATTACGTACTGTTTTGTTAACAAGTTAGTTAGTTTAGTGTCCTTACTTCGATCAGGATGGTTGATGATACTGTTACACACACTGTCATAGACTAACCATGTTGTCCATGTTTTAATTAAAATGTTACTGTACTGTATCGATTCTCTACAACCTAGAACCTACACGGCTACACCTACACCTAAAAACAAAACTATTAAATAAAGAAAACCTTTACCTAAACTTTAAAATTATCTACAAACAAACTAATTAGTACAATTGTTTTGATTCTGCTTTGGATTGGAGGTTAGGTTTGGTTTATCTCCGTCCGATCCGATCCGAGTGGACACTAATTCCCGCCATTTCACAATAGAATATATAGACAGAAAGCAAACCCTAAAAAAATCTACTGGAAACATAAAGGAGTACCAACTATGCTCGTTGGTCCCAAAGTGGTCCCAACAGCCGTTGGTCAAAGATGGTCGATATCCCATAGATTCTACACTATTATTATATGGGATACTCAAGTCAATGGCTTATTTTCTACAAAGTGACATCTTATAGCATTGAAAGTGTCGGAGTTTTAGGATGTTGGTAATATGAACGTCTCTAGGGTTGTCGGCTTTCTGAGATTTTTTTCTATAGGAAAAACCGAGGCTACCGAGGGGAGCACAATCATTGAAAGCAAAAACTAAACTCTTCACAATCATTGAGGTCGGGGCTGTGTGTAGCCCCGCCTTTATAGGTAATGTAATGGAAACGATATTACTCTAACTAACTAGGCCTATTCACTTATTTATTTGACGGTACTCATGTCAAATATTGTAATAAAACAGAGTAAGTAATACAACTATGGCTAATATCTATGTGGCTTGATTTTAAATGGACCAATTTCAATATAGTATCGCTTACTATTATAATTTACAGGAGCGCTAACTAACTGTAGTTTTTCTCGAATACTATCTACTACTATAGTAGTTTAAGCTTTTAGCAATAGAGTTAATAGTCTAATACATTTTACAGTTTGTTTTACATTACTGTTCTATTATTGAGATGTTTTTCAATTTGTATAACATATTTCACCAATAAATTAGTTTAAGATATTGGTCGAATCCATTTATAGAAATTTATTATTAGGTATTATTATTTATTAATAATACTAATATTAATATTAATATTATTCATTATTTTTGGACACTGGCTTTAATAGACGATTAAATAGGTGCATATTGGTTCTATTTGTCTATGATACAAACAATGTTAACCCTTAAGCGCGCGCGCTAGTTTTTTTACTCTGGAGCGCGCGCGGGGGTCTAGTGCACCCCCAAATAAAAATGGGTATATATAAAAACAGTTTGTGATATTTAGCTCCTTAAACTTTAGACATAATATCCATATTAGTTTTATCACTTTACACATGTTATGTACATTTTTGTTACGTAAAAATGTGATGATCCTATATCCTATAACTATTTTGAAAATAATACGAGTAGTTTGGACCCTTAATTTTTTCATGATGAAATGTAATAATGGTGTTGAAGAGGGGAAACTCGTAGTTAAACATGTGTTTATTGCAAACAAATATAACTTTTAATTTTACAACAGTTACTTGTAAAAAACCATGTAAGCAGTAAATATTTAATGAATTAATAAATTTCCCGGTTTGTATAAAATACTGAATAAAAAATAAAATAAATTTAACACTTTCTTTGGTTATGTGTGTTTTTTTAACATCCTCGTCCAGTTGAGTCAGGTTTAGAGGTCCTTTTAAACACACTTCAAAAATATTTTACATTTATTTTGTGCCTGGCACACAATTTTTTTAAGGTTTTTACCATAGACTAAGCAACACAAAGTATGTTTTATCTATGGTTTTACACTCTTAAATTTGGTCTTGGCGTCTTTTTTACCAAGGCAGACGCGCCTTTTTACTGGAAAGCTAGATCAGTATGGACTATATATACGGTTGAATTGCTGCTTTACTGATACTACGTTTTTTTTTTTGCAAACTTGCAATACTATCAAAATTATAAATAATAAAGTTGTTATAAACTATTTATACCAATTCGATAATAAAACTGAGACACTACTACGCGCACGGGGGTACACAGACCCCCCAATGAACACGTATAGGCCTACTGGTAACACAGCCAGGGTGGTAAACAGTCAATGACTGGCCAAGACTAACAAACCTCTGCGCTAGATGATAGAATATGCTATTTTAGGCTGCTACTGTTATGCTCACCAGGGTTGCCACCTTACTTGTAAAATTATGACAGAATTTTTGTCTGTATTATGTAGATAAGGAATTATTCAATTAATTTTTTAGTTTTTTTGGCAGTTTTTACTGTTTGATCACCTCAAAATGTTATAGGTGGATATGTGTTAAAAAAGAGCTTAAAAACACAAAGTACAGTAGTCAGAGCTTAGCCTGGGCGTGCGGCCGCGCTATGGCGAGGGGTGTAGAGGGGAGGGTTTATTGCTCATTTCCAAAAATATCTGCCCACACTGCTGTCTTCATGGCTTTGGCAAGGGGGAGGGGGGACGGTTAGTACACAAACACAAGGGTCCGCGCTCCCAGCTAACTGCGACACTACTACGATTAGTACTTTAATCTTACCTAACTTACCTGAAAGTAAGAGGGACTGTATTATCTTGCCATGCTACACAAACTCTAACCTAACCTGTTTAAAACATTAAAACCTAAATTCAAACTGTTCGGATTCAGCGGGTCACAGAGAAGTAAAGGTACAGAGGAAACATTCAATGGTAAGCTTGTGTGGTGTCTAGCACTACTCTTAGTACTGGTGTCTAAGGTAAAGTCCAACTCAGAACTCCACCCCCTTGCCTTCATGTACTACAGCACTCACATTGGAAGAAGACCCTGTGCTCTGTATGCAATAGGAATTTCCGCACAGTGCTCACCACTCGGACTCTTCCTTGCTTGTCACAAGTATATTTCTAGCTGCTAGAGCTGAAAGCGCAAGGTTATCCCCCTATTTCTTCTGGACCTTTTCTCTGTCAGCGGGTAAAGAAAAAATGCAGTTGCTCGGTATACTGTATTTAAAACAAACATTAACACAATGCACTTACTCAGGGGTACGAGATACATGTGTATAAAGATAAATAAATGTATTTACAAATGGAGAGAGATGACACAAGAGGTTAACATAGAGCAACCACAATACACTATAGGCTATGAACACTAAGTACTACAAGAGGCACATGAGTGGTCCCATCTCACCATTCAAACTAGATTGTTTTGTTAAAATCATTTTTGTTTGGAAAACTTACAACTAGTGTGCTCAACATTTTTAATCACCCTAATGGGGGACAAACTATACATGTTGTACAATGGTTTAGAGAACATTGCTTTGATCTCTTTGGTTGTGATTTTAGAAGATTCGCAATGCAGGTCTATGTAGGTGATTGCGCCAATTTGATCCTAGCAAGTCACAACCAATTTGGTTTGGTTCATGCAATAATTTGTCGTTACAGCTTTGAACCAGTCAGCCAAGGGTCTGGTCTTCAGCACACAAAAGGAAATTATTATATTTTTTGGTAAAAAAATAGTCAGGTTTAAAAAATAATTTACAAACTGTACAGAAAATCTCAAAAGAGTTAAACAAACGCCAATTTCAAAGTTGAAAAAGTACATTTTAACTAATTAAACAATTGAACAATTAAAATGAAAACAACCCTCTTTCTATTTTCAAACAAAAATGCAACATATATTTTAAAATTTTAATCTTATCACTTATTACAAAAGAGAAAAACTACCCAACAAAACAAAACATTGTGGCAATTTGGTTGCTCCAAAAAATAGTATGGACAACACTTAAAAGCTTTACAAACTATTATAACTATACCTATATCTTAAAAACAATATGATTAGAAAAGTGAACTCAAAGAATCGACTACAAAAAACCATATACAATTTATGTTTAACTCCATAGGGTTTTGTATTGAAGTTTTACAATACAGATATAATAGTTAATGGAGATGGTACTTAAAAATACAATTACCTGTTTGTAGGAAATCTTACAGCATATTATTTATATAACCTTGGATTATCTGATTAACCTTAACCTACAACATCATAGTTTTTGGGTTCATAACTTGTCTAGCATTAATAACTGTTTGTTCAAACAAAAATATGTCAATTATGGTTAACGCTTTCCATAGCTAAGATAAGATGTGTATTTTATCATTTTGTTGTACATTAAGATACAAGTTAAAAGCTCAATCATTTCCTGAAGTTTAAAATGTATTCTATAACTAATAAAATGCAGTTGTTTAAATTTTTTTGTTCATATTGTATTAAGTTAACTTGCTAAACTTTACTATTTCTATAGCACCGTACAATATCTTAGGGAAATAGGGATGAGTTTTTGGATTGGGTCCCATATAATTCTGAGCTGTCGCAATTTCTTACTAGAAAAAGCTGAAATTCAAAATACCTAATTTCTAAACATTTTGTAAGATGTACACATTCCCGCACCTTCAAAAATATTAAAAGGTGGATCAAATATCCTTCCTTTGAGCATTTAAAAATGTATTGGCTATAGACAGTGTAAGTGAATAACTACTTGTATTTCTAAAGGAGTAGTATAGACTAATATTATGATGGTGAGAAGATAAAAAATAGTATTTGTTTTTATACATCTTATGGTTAACGAGTAGTGCAGATGTGAAAATTATTTCAATCTCCAATATCTTTTATTAGAATCTTCTTCCTTGTTTTTGAAATAATTTATCTGCATACAAAACAATTCTCCTGAAAAGATAAAGAACATAATATACAGCATGTCACTTTATGTATAGTTTTTTGTGCTTTAAACTGAAATGGTGGTAAAGTAGCTTCTTCCCTATAAGAAAATTCGCAAAACCTTAAACAATTTATCTAAGCTTGATTTTTTGTCAACTTAAAAACATCCTAACTCAGTTTTTATATCAAAATTACAAAATGATTATAAATAACTATATAATGTCATTAATTATTACTTTCAGAACAAAATTGAAAATACAGAGGTTGTAAGTGAAAAAAGTACATTACTGTGAAGGTGTTCTTAACAGGGATGCTTGGGAAAAAACAAAAAAATCAATTCTTGTAACAGTGTTGCAGAAGATGAACTCATGATGGCCATGTCATTACCATTGATTCAATGTCATTGACCTAGTATATGATTATTTTACTACTTGAACTAAGTTTGTCACATCATTAAAAATATATATTGGATAAAAGTTCTAGTATTTAACTTTCCCCAAAAATTAACCTAGACCTGTAATTTACCGTCTGAAAACTCTGAAACCGCCGATCAATAATTCAACGTTTTCTGAAACTGCCCAACCCCTATTATTCCAAATAAGCAGGGATTGAAAGCATAAGATTTGAAAACTGCATCAAATTACTGTGAACATTTTTTTGTTCACAGTAATTGTCTTTTTTGTAAAAAAATAATTCAGAGAAACATTTAATATTTATGCAATCATCAATAAAATGCTAGAAATTGTCATTCAAATCATAAAGGGCACAGTATCAAAAGCTTGGCAAAATATATTTATAGAAAAGCTTACACTTAGTACATTTGGTTGGTTACATTTACCTAAATCATTCCATTTAACCATTTTAACACTCCATACAAATCACATGACAGGCTATAAAACTAAACAACCAGTAAGTTAAAGGCTAAAACGGACATTTGAATAAAAACAGCTAAGACATCTAATATAAAATATTAAAATTACTGTGACGTTTAATATCAAATATGGACAGATACAATACGATATACTTTATATATAAACATGGCTATAAAATAACTCTATACATCTACCACCACCGTGTACTAAATTACAGTGAGTATACTTAAGACACCATACAATAAAAATGACTTCTCCTTGATTCACTGCATACTAGCATACTTTTGTTGGCATACAATCAATACATTCAGTGTACATTACATTTCGGGGCAACGCCAGGAATTTGATACATAGGACACATATTTTTTTTCTTCAGCATTACTTAATTGTGTTTTTATGCGGAGAAGTAAAGCTTAAATTGACCAAAAAGTAAGTGGTACTTATTCTTAAAGCACACATCAACAACTGCTAAAACAACTAAAATCAATGGAAAGTAAAATTGTTTGGAGAGAGCATGTCAATTAATACTGTTGAGTCTATGTCTTAGTTTAAAATTAGTGGTGCTCTTCTTTCAACTTATCTTTCACATGAGTGTTTGTTCCACATGTACTTTGGGGTGACAAAGAAAAATCTAGGCACATCTGAGTAACACATCACACATAATAATGAAACAAGACCTTTATTTGAAAAAAAAAATGTACAATGATGAATTTTTCATTTGGATCACAAATTTAGGAATCTAATCTACAGATCCACATGTTAATGTATTTTCTATTGTTGCGTTTTGAAGATTGTGGTCTTCAGGCGACCAACGTTTTGGCCTCGATGTATATTCAAGAGGACTTTACTTCCCACAGTTGTCGTATAATTGTGCTTGATCAACCATCAAGTCAAGATATCATCATCCTGAGAATACCACTCTAAGGCCAAGACATTGGTGAAAAGATGTATTTTATAAATTTTGAAACAATCGTTGCCTAAAGACAATCAATCTACAAATCCACATATGTTATGTTCAACGGTTTGATTTGTGTGGGAAAACACGCTTATGCAGTTTGCAGTGCATCAAGGAACAGCCATGAGTGGACCCCTGGATTGTTGTTACTAGCCACCAAAACGTTAAACAGAAAACACGGAAATGAGGAAAGCACGCGCCTCTGAAATGAGGAGACCACGTACCTCCAAACTGAGAGGTAGCACGTGCCTGTACATATGGTGTTCTGCAGTGATCCGGTGCGCGTTCCAACAAGCACGCACACGTTACTAATCTACCTGAAAGACTAGGCTCATATAGAGATAAATATTCCATCTTATATACAACTACGACGGTTAACAAATTTAACTTTTCTATAATACAAGATAAAAACATACCATACATTTACTTACACTTATAAGTTAACAACTTTTCTACAATAAAAGATAAAAACATACCAAAAACTTACTGTTGGATAAAATAAAATCTCATAAGGCCTTTCGATAGTTAAATCGCTACATTTAGTTTAACTCTATTTTGGACTTTGATACCACTCTGTAAATTTGTGCAAATATTGAAATGCGTACTTTAAACTTTGCTGCATAGACATTGATAAACAAAATTGTCTAGTTATAATGAATAAAATTGTATATTTTATTAGTAAATATAAGAAAAATACTTTAAAATTTAGTATAATTTGATGTATCAAATTATTAAACTCATCCATTTCTGTTTATTTTTTATATTTTACTTACAGTTACTACAGTCAGCCTAATTTTATATTTAGTATTTGCTGAATATATAAAATAATGTAAAATGAATATATATGATAGATAAAACTCAGGAAATCAGCAAGACACTAATACACAATTACCATATGTTTTAAGTAAAAATAAGGCTTAAAAATGAAAATTTGCACTATGAGTCTTGTAAAGTTTGACGAGCATTCAATATTTACAGAGTAGCAAAAGACCTTAAATACATTTTTCAAATGGGAAAGCAATCGGAAAAGTGGCTCTGTACATGGGAAGTGGGAACCTCAGTCTGTCCTACATCGACCACAGGCTCGAGACAATCTCTTCCGTTAGAATCCTCTTCCAACTCGTCCCCTAAGACACTTCTGGCATCATCTTTAATCCCGGGTGAGAACATATCGCAGCAAAACGTACTTTGATCGAGTTCAGTGTCAGCAGGGAGATCGTCTGAAGCGGAAATGTTGGACAGCGTCATTTCTTCTAATTGAGAGTAGAATATTTCATCCTCCGTGACACTACTAGTATTGCACAAGCCTCGACAGTCTGTATAATAATAAAGCTCCTCAGTAGGAGTGTAATCGGAACGGTCACTGTAACAAAATGCTTCAGAGTTCTGTCTGTCTACCTTCACATGTACAGGATCTGCATCTGCGGGGGGTTCTGGACGAAGGTTTTCCACGACTGGAACGTCAGGTGCTTCTTGGGAACTATTTGAAGGCGCATTTGAGCATGATTGATCCTCGACTTTATTTATTTCAACAGGAACAGTAAAAGTAGTTTCAGCAACGTCACTAAACGAATAAGAATAAACACATTCACTAAAAGACTTGTGTTTACTGGAAAGCCTGTCTCGGTCGTACATTGCTAAACTGTCGCAGGCTTCATCGACGTAAGGAAAGTCGGCTCTGAAAGTGCGAGGAGGCGAAGGCTCGTAGTTATCCTCTACAACACGAGCTTGACGGCTTAACCTCGGCCGATCCAAGACGTATCTCCCGACATTGGTAGGTCCTGGACCGTCTTCTGGGCTCGGGGTCAGATCAACAATTTCATCTTCTGGCGTCAGCGGCAACGCAGCGCCACGGCCAAACTGGTAAAACCAGAGGTGCTGGACATCGCACTCTCACTTCTTCTCCTTCAAGTCCTTGTCCAAGTAGTGCAGCACATAGTGGAGTACGAGGTCGTAGCAGTATTTGTACTCCGTCTGAAAACCACATCAATAAGTTAATTTATAATAACGCTTTTAGGCATGTAAAATGTCCCATATTAAGAATAAGTCATCCTCACCCAAAATATAATGATTTTTAACTTCATAGTTTGATAACTAAATACTGGTATTTTGTGGGTAGCTAAATGGTAATAGTGCTCGCCTTCAAATCTGAAGGTTGCTGGTTCGATTCCAGGCAAGATTGTAACGGACCCAGATGCCATTATTGTAAGGTGGACACGAGATAGGAACAAGATCATGGTTTATACTGTTTCCTATAAGAACGTTAAGAAATACCAACGGCGTTGATGCAAACAAATAAAAGCATATTTAGAAAGTACCTATCTGAGATTGTAACCTAGTTCATTACCTAGTTCATACTAGTACCTAGTTTTACCTAGTACCTAGTTCTTCTGGCGCTTATAGCCAAAAAAGAAGCATTTTCTAAACTTGGTCCAGTCCTGTGAGAATTGGTTAAAAGAATTGGTACTATAAATCAAATAAAATCCTGTACCGTATTTGAGTTGTAGTGATATATATGATAAGCGAAAACAACTTGATCATCTAACCATATTCTCAATGAGCTGAGGTCTGTGCCTTCTGACAGTCTTGACTGCTTGGAAGATGTCCACTTCTCCGTGCTGAATGACTTGTTCAATACAGGCATTGGCAGCACAGTAAACCCCACAGCGACCCCTTCCATCCCTGCAAATAACCATCATAAAGTATACTTCCGGTAAATAAAAAAAAATCAGTAGACAAAACCTGCATTGGTTAAGGTAATTGAATAATCACTGGTTCAATCTTTCTTAGAATGTATGTTTTGATGGTTCAAAAATGGACACAGCTATTCTTGATAACTGGGCCTTTAAAAAATGTTCCTGGGATAGAGAGAAGTAAGGTACAGAGGACAACTGTGTACTTTCAGTTCTAGTATGCTGTGCTGGAAATATACTTATTGTGACGAGCAAGGAAGAGGCCAAGTATTGAGTGCTGTGCGGAAATTACTATAGTACAGAGTCTTCCACCAGCATTGTAATACATGTGGGCAAGCGGGCAGTGTTGGACTTTGGCCGAGACATCAGTAACTAGTGCTAGACACCTACAGCACAAATGTACCATTGAATCGTTCCTCTGTACGTTACCTCTTTGTGGTAGCTTACAGAAGGCTCAAAACTGGACCCCTGTCCTTGATCATTGGGCCTTTAAATAATCCTGGCTAATGAAACACAAGGCATCTCACTCTGTTCTACACTCATCCTTCACTCGCCAGTTGGGCTAAAAAGAAGTATTGTGGTAGATCTAAAGGAAAGATGTGGTGCTCTCATTGCCTCACCCTAGAATAGTTAAATAGAGATTATCACTAAGCAAATTGGCTACTTACTGTGAGACCACAACGACTGGGCCGTAGTCGGTGCGTTGCCGCCAGCGCTCCACCATGTTCATCAGTTCCACAAGGCTGTTAGTTGACGTCGGAACTCTGTGTCCGTCCGGCCAACAGGTCAGCTGAAACATCTGGACAGTGCGAGGAGGAGCCTTGACACCGGCCATCAGCTCTGTCAGGGACACAATCTGTAACAAATTGAATCAAGTCATTTATTGATCCGGTAACACAACAAGTATTGGACAATAAGTCAAAGGAAATTGGAAAAGCTATGCTAAATGGAAGTCTTTTACCATTGTAGAACTTATTCAATGTCAAGTGTTTATCTTAAAGTGATGATCTGCTTTAATCTTTACAGAAAGGTCTTAAAGGTTAGTGGCAGGATGTTAAAACAGTCAAACTGGTCACCATAGCAAAACAGTTTAAGGACTTTGACAACCAGCATTTAGGAACATCAAAGTTCTTGAACTTACAGTTGGTTAGTTTTCTTCAAGGAATGGCTCATCTAGGTCGGGATAAAAGGGATAGAAGCTAGCTTAGGCCGGGGCCACACTTGTAATTTTCAACCAGCGAGACTGTTTTTTTCCGTTTTCACGTGTGACGCATGTGAAACAGTTTGACCGTGGCCACACTTGTCTTACGAGATAGGTTTTTCGGGCAAACCAGTGAGACTGATAGAGCATGCCACACTGGCAATAAAAATCGTCCGTGTCCGTGATACACACTCCCCCCCCCTTCCACGCTCTCTATACAGGTTAAAACTAGAAACGTCCGTGGAAAAAGTTCAGCGAGATAAGATGAGTGTGTTCACTCCCATAAGCCGCAATGCCCCGCGACTAGTTTTACGTGCAACGCCCATGGAATGTTAGTAGAGAATACACGTGCAATTCCATTTGTCAGTCTCGCTGGTACGTTTTTACTCTAGTGTGGCCTGCCCCTATACCGTAATGTATCTCTCAAACCCACGGGTAACGCCCGTGGAAAAAATTCAGCGAGATAAGATGAGTGTGGCCCCGGCCTTACCTTAGGAGAAGTACAGGCAAGCCATAAATACATCAGAAAACACTCAATATTTTATTCCCTAGGGGACTTTGTCAAGTGTAGAGATAGAGAAAGAGTTTACAAAATGGTTGCTGTCATATAGTGTTGTCACACAATAGGTTTACTGGCTTAATCTCTTCTATCTTTAGTGTCCCCTGATTCAACACTTTATATCTTACAGTAGAAAAAAAGGAAAAGTTGAGTAAGCCAGTATAGATTGTGCTAACTTATTTTTTGTAACTGAAATAGTTGAAATGACATGAAAGATGCTAGCTTACAAATTTCATCCTACCAGTTTTACACGATTAAAATATCCACACATAAAGCGAAAATCAGTACAATCTTGTCGGTGATCTTCCTCACTTCTACGACGTCCATTTTCGGTTAAAAACTGGCAGCAACTTTTATGGGAATGGTATGTCTAGTTATATCAACAGTTAAAGGTACATCTTGAAACAAAGCTCACTTTGAGCTTACTTTCAGAGCCAGCCTTTAGGAACGTGCTAAATTTGCACCCGCACAGGGCCCCACACCTTAGGAAGCCCTGAGCTTGGTGCAAAATAAAAAATTAGTAAAAGTCTGAGAATTTTTCTCAATTACGGAAAAATAAAAAGAGGGGTGTATAAATACTAATATTATACATTAAGATTTTTGTTGGTATTGTTGCAATACTACTTTGGTAATAGGGACCCCACTCTGAATGTTACTGGCCCCGAACCACTTAAGGCCAGCCCTTAGCTATTTACTAAGCTATTAACTTACCCTCCGATGTTCCTCGCCAGGTAGAGTGAATGCAGGATGATATCCAGAACCTAAACACTAACATGCAACAATCAAGCAAAGCTACAACACCATGCAAAACAATACAAAAAATCACTTGTTACATAAAAAATAACATGCTTTGATTTTAGAAATATTTGTCTTGGAAGATTTTGACTAACTATAAAATTGACAACTATAGCATTAAACATGTTGAAAATGCATTTAGGAAATAAACAGACGAAAGCACAGGTGAGAGGGGGGAACTGTAACAATTCACCTCTAAGCACCGTAGATACAGAATGTTTTTAAAAGACCAATTTTGTTGAGTCAGAATGAGTTTTTCAAAAGTGAAATGAGCATGCTTCAAAGACAACACCTCACATTATTTGGTAACTTGCATTGCATCCATTATTTAAGACTGTAAAGTGAGTTTGGAGATTTACCCTATGTGTCATATGATGAGGAATGGTACTGAATGATTGTATTTTCAATTTTTCCAGTTCAAACAGAAGGCACACAACAACAGAAGGTTGGTTGTGGTACTTGTACACACACTTGGGCACCTTTTGTATGTTGCAGTGCCAGTTCTTGAAATCAGTCAACAGACTCTTACAAGATTTTTGATAGGATTAGTAGGAATCATGCAGCTTAGTGAAGTGACGGCTCATTTTTTGAGTTGAAAGAATATTACCAAACTTTTAATCTCCATCCATTTGCAAATAAAACTGACAAACTTACTACTACAATAAAAACTTTTCAAATTATCTGTCTAAAAAAATAGTGAGATTGAAAAACCACAAAGAGATGGAGCCATGCATGTTGTCATACCTTCTTGTTGATCCTGAAGACCCAAGTTTTGATGTTGCTGTAGTGATTATGGGAGATGTGGTCAATTGTGAACACTGGACCGTACTTCTTAGAATGTCTCCCCTCTGGCCAGAATGGAGGGTAATCTTGCTATTGGAAACAAAATTAAATAGGTATTAGATAGTGCAGTTGGTAAACCAAAAGTGTGAATTAAAATAGTAGAAAATCAATTAAATCTATTTAGGTGAAGATTTAAAATAACACTCCACAGAGTTTAAAATACTTACTTGGCTATATAGAAAATATATTTTACTAAATCAAATTTTAATTTTTAAATTCTTTTTACTGTAAAATGTTTATTTGCTAGATTAAGTCGTCCATCTCTTCAAAGTATTAAAGAATCAAATAATCTTACAAAATTATCTTGTATTTTGATATTTAGGTAAATGTATCGATTGATTTGAGGTTATTTTGTAAGGATATTTAAAACAGAAATTGTGTTTTTATTTGCCTACCCCACAGAGAAGTAAAGTACAGAAGAAGAAACATTCAATGGTACACTTAAATGATGCCTAGCACAGTTGCTGGTGTCTAGGGTAAAGTCCAACACCACCCCTCGCACCATCATGTACTACAATGCTCACGGTGGAGGAAGACCCTGTTCCCTGTTTAACAGGAATTTACGCACAGTGCTTGCCACTCGGGCTCTTCCTTGCTTGTCACAAGTATATTTCTAGCGTAACATACTAGAGCTGAAACTTCACGTCCCATAAGCCTGTTTCCTCTGTACTTTACTTCTCTTTGACTCCCAGAAAAATTCGGTCATATTTAAATGTTCCCTACAGCCTGGCCAGATACTGTTCATATACTTGTACACTTCCCAGAGGGATGGTATGCTAAACATTACAGTTTTTAAATGAATCCCAAATGCCATACTCACAGAGTTAGGAGGTGGTACACACAGCACGACCACAGCAGAACACTCGTAGTCATAAACGACTGACCAGATGTCACCCAGGGTGTGTTTCAGGGGCCACTCTGTTACTATGTACTCTCTGGGCTTTGTGTAGCCCTGGAACAGAACAAATCAAATTTATTGTCCTTCACTACAGATAGAACTATACAACTAGACTTTCCATCCCATGTTGAAGCTGTTTGAACTTTGCATATTAGATATCACATTTATAGCCATCTATAATAGTCAAACCACTACAAAGTTTATTTCCCCATATTTTTTGTCCACCCTATTGATTTATATGTTTGATGGATCATTGCTTTTGTAGTTGTCTGCTAAACACTTCACTGTGCAGACGATGCATTACACCACATCAACGTGACTCAATTTACAATGCTTAGTTTGTATAAAGCTTTCATATAAATGGCAACTAAGATATACACAGAGTCAGAGTTGTTTCATACAGTTGTGTTGATTGAAAAATATATAACATTGAACACATAATAACTTCTAATAAGACAACAACATTTTTTGTACCTATGCTAAGAAACTTTCCATTATACTATGAGTCCTCTAAAAGGAAGTGAGCAGAGTAAGAGTTAAGTTTCAAAATGCATGGCTTTTTGTTGAAAAAGTTTTCTTGAAAAGCAAAGTTACTTATGAAACATACAACTGGAATTGCATACTCACGTCTACAAAAACAGCGTTGATGTAGTCAGTGAAGGTGTTGCCTTGGAATGATGTCAAGTATGGTCGGAAATTGTCAGCTGGAAAGAAAATATTTTTCGTTATCAAAAGGACACTGACCTAGAAATACAACTGGAGGTAGCCCTTACATGGCAACTCTGCTAGAAAATCTAGCTAGACCTTGTCAAATGTTGTCACCTACTAAGGGAATCAGCGGGCGCCCCTAAACCACCGACGCCCCTAAACCACTGGCGCCCCTAACCCACCTGCGCCCCTGAGCATATGCCCATAGTCTGCCCATTTATAAAAGTGGGCCTGTGTACTAGTACAAATGGCGACTAACATCTCCCAATTCTCCCATAACTCAATAACTCGTTTATTGAACCAAAGTAGACACAATTACATGTAGGTTAGGTCAAAATAATATATTCAGCGCAACTTCCAGTTGTATCTCTAGCTCAGTACCATAATATCAGCATTTAATTTAAACTGTTCATGCACTTAATCAAATAATTATTCACCACTTTTATCACCTACCTACTTATGAGTCTTATTCTAAATTAAGTATGTTCAGATTCTTAAACATTATTTGCTACAGTGTGAGTGTCACATTCTAAATGAAATTCACTAGGATACATAAAGGTTAGTAAAAGCCTATATAATCTTAAGAGAGTTAACTCACGAGGCACTATCAGAACGTCTCGGTTTTTCATTCTGTTGTCTGCTCTATGACCACCAGCACAATCACCTATGGTGAAACGTGGCGTTTGCTTGCATATTTGCTGAAACAGAAAAATTATCATTGTAAGATAGATGTGGTTGAAACAAATGATAATTTTTTCAAAAACTATTCCATCAAATAGGTTTTCTTTTAATTTAGTGTATTCAATCAAAAGGGTGCAGGTATCACAAAACTGTCTTTGAATACAGGACTTTCAGTAGGTAATTAATGAATTTGACTAAAAGGATTGCTGATATTGGCCATAGTAGTGATGTATTAGGTAGCATACATATAGGGAGGAATTTGGATATTTTTGTGTCTGTGAGAGAAGAATTTTGTAAAAAATAATAGTAAAAGTTTCAGCTTTTGGAAAGTCAGTGGAGACCTCTTTAACTTTTGTGGATATACCAAAGATAAAAAATGTATATCTCACACTAAAGTTTGAGACGGTACAACCACTAGGCATTCTACCTCTTATTTAGTAAAGACAAAGTTTATGCGTTTCATAATCATCAATTAAACACGTCTCGGCAAGTGACTGTAATTTTTTGTAAAAAATAAAGCCATTAACCAACCACCAAATGCAAACTGATATAATATTGAATTATGTGGTAAAATCATGAAAAGTATATGTCATAGTTTTTAACAGTACTTGTGTAGACCTCGATCATTTATTTCATTGCCTGGCGTCTGGTCATAATCCTCTTGCAATATGCACCTGTTGCGTTGGCTTAGAAAAACTCTTGTTCATAGTTTTGATCTCTAAGTGTTGTTGTACATTCCGAATTCCAAAAATGACATGAACATTACCTGATATTCTCTCTGGTACTCATTGAGCTTGGTAACAGGATCTTTCATGGATTTCTGTTTCAATCTCTGTGACAGTTCCTTCACAGGGAACCACGAAACTCCGCAAACTACATATTCTTCTAATGTGTCGTAGATAAATTTGTACTGTTCCTGAAAAACAAATGAATAAATCGTATACGGTACCCTATATACATACTCTTATTAAATCAGATCAAACAATCTATATTTACAGTTTCAATAAAATCAGTAGGTAATGCAAATTTTTACCATTCACCTAACAAAAACAAATACTCTCAGGCATCTGATAAAGTAGAAGATTTTGAATGAAATATGTCTCCTAATTTTATGATTCTTTTTTATAAAAAGATTCTCTTTTTTAAATTATAGATAATTTGATTTGACTTATGATTTGTGTCTGTTTGAAAAAGTATGACCAAACAAGAACACCAAAAATAATAAGAAGGAGAAATTTACCAGGGTTTCAACCATGCCTTTTCTTGATTGGCGTAGCATTTTGAGGTATCCAAAAATATCAAATGCATCTTCCTCTTCTTTCAGTTCTAAGTTTGCATCTATTGACAAAAACACACCAGATCTTCCACCACCATCACTGAAACATTATAAATTATATCGATTACATTTATATTATTTATTCCATTTTGAATACCCAACATTTAACGAAGGTGAACAAACTGAAGGCATTGAAAGTTGGGGCAGTACTCATTTTTAGGCAAAGCATGAGATATTAAAAGAAAACTAAACATCATCTTGCAGTTGCATTTTGCATACTGAACCATTAATCTTTTAGGTCTTCTTTTCATTAATAATAAGCTGAAAGTATTACAAAGTAGCGTTAGCCCAAAACTAGCTAATAATAATTATATTCAGAAAAACTTGTCCTTGATATTCCTAAGGATGAAACATTTTTTACACAATAAAGGATCTATTTAAGTGAATTAAATTATTAACTGGCTAAACTGAAAGTGGTAATGTGGTGCTCGGTACTCTTATTCTGAGGAAAAGCTTGGATAAGGATAAGATGTTCCCTTAATTTACAAATTAACATTCAGTAAACTCAGATGTTTTTTCCACAGTCAACACATAATGACTGCCCGTCCTAAACACCTTCCCCCAAGGCCATATCCCTAAAACGCAGGTATAAAGACTATTAAAGAGGACCCTGTGCTTTCAGCTCTGGTATGTTGTGCAAAACTTGTGCTGAGCTAGGAAAAGCTTAAGCGGTGAGCACTGTGCAGAAATTTGTATAGCACAAGGGCCTTCTTTCACCATGAGCGCTGTAGTACACGAGGGCCAGGAGGTGGTATTGAAATGTCTCCTAGTCACCAGCACTACGGCTAGACACCACTTAAATGTACCATTGAATGTTTCCTCTGTACCTTACTTATCTATGCCTGAACTTAGGAGCATTAAGGAATAGTCCGATTTTTAGACACTTACTTGCAGTGCACCACTATCGGACCCTCTCGCGCAGTCCTGTAGGAACCGACGACCGCTCTCATTCTCCTCCGGAACTCTAGGATGGCGTTTGAGAACGGACACGTGTGGCACGGCCACTCTGTGTAATGGAACTGTAGGAGAGTTCTCTCCTGTTCTTCCTCCTGCAGCAAACAGAAACTGTGTAAATTGGACAATTTGTTTATCCAATAGTCAATGGTCAAATCTAGAAATATATCTGGGTAGATGAGTGGATATTGCTTCCCTGGTAATCAAAAGGTTGACCGTACGTCCCTGATAAACCTGCTTCATATAATATGTACTATGTACTATGGGGGAGAAAGTAAAACTATAATGATCAGGACAACTAATCCAATTTAGAACCAAAAGGATTCTGACTTTTAATGGAATTGAACCATGTGCCCTTCTGATTATAAAGGAAGGCTCTATCCAGCAATTGGGTGAAAAGAGCTATTTTAGCCCTTCAGCACATGTATTGTAGATACCTAACCATAAAATAGCTTTAACTGATTGTGTACGAAATAATAGTTATAGTGCAAATCAGCTTAGAATCTGTAATCCATAAAATTTACTCCTCTAGTGAGTTATATTTTTAATTTGTTTGATATAAAACCAAGACAATAATTTAGGTAAATTACAAAATGAATTAAAACTGAATTTACCAATTAAATATTGACAATAGTTTTACTAGAATGAAAATCAACAAGTTTTCAAGACGAACAAAGAATGGCTTTGTTAACTTCAGAGTCTTCATTCTTCCAGAGGTTTGAATACAAACAAAACAAGTTTCAATACCAGTGACATTTGACGGCGTAGTTGAGGAATATAGATTTATTGGGGTTTTTTCCTATAGAAACTTGTTTACATCCACATTTTGTAAAATGTTTTAAAATAACTTGTTTTCACAAATAATACAGTGAGTAAAAAAAAAACATAATTCCTCTTTAACATGGTTTGAGGAGTACCTTATTATTTGCGTGTCTTACAAATTTATTTAAATATTTTTTGTAAACTCTACCACTTTATCCACACTGGACTAAGTCCCCCAAGGGACGAAATTTTGTGTGCACCGTGTCTGTATGTTTACGACCTACCTACACTTCTTCAAGGTAATCTAGCTGTGGTAATCCTCCTTATTCTAGAATTCAAAATGCTATTAATGTTTGTGGCTTTCAATTAATCAGTGCAAAATTAAATTATGGCTTTAGTGAAGAAATTTTCTCCAAAACAGAGAGATCATCTCTCTGTGGAATCTCCCTCTAAATGATCATAAACCTGTGGACTGTGAATGATCAATAAGTCATAACATATTGCTTTAAACACCCCTGCTGCAGCAAAACTGCAGAAAATCCAATTTCCATTTATCTGGTTGGATTTTCATATACTGTATAACAATCAACCAATTGTGTTGTTGGTCTCTGGTGGCGTCAAAACAAAAAAATAAATTGGCCCTGACCTCCAGGGTCTAGGTCTTAACACGTTCGCTACTGAGCGTCGCATATATGCGACGCCGCGGTCATTGCCACAGACCGAGGTATACATTTGAATCTTACACATAGACCGACTGTCACTTGGATAACAGTACACACAGACCACGGGCAAAAACCTGTAAAACAACGATCATTTACATTGTAATACGCTACAATGGTGTTTGTAAATAAATTATTTTTGTTTATTTGTATTTTTTATAACCTTTTGTAATGTTGCATATTTGCGACGCCCGGTCTACAGCGAAGACAATAATGAAAATTATCATAGTTTTCTTGAAATAGACTAAACGTCGCATATATGCGACAGTTCATTTTTTTGTGTTTTAAGGTGAAAGAAAGTAAAAAATAAACAGATTATTCAAGAACAGTTTATAACTGAACAAATATATAAGCTACATAGAATAATGCAGCATACATACTGCATAGTGATGCAGAAAAGTAAAGACCAGTTTTTCCAACTATTATATGACATCACCAATCATCATATCCACAGACCAAGCGACGCAGTTGTGCGTCAGACATCTCTGTAGACCACTGCAGGGAATTCAGTGCCTTCAAATAGACCACTACAAAGATATCAGCATTTTAATAACATTAGAACCCCGACGCAAATATGCGTCGGCAGTCTATTTTATGGTGGAATGGCCTCTGGATCGTCTGAATTAACTATATAGTGGTTTAAATTACCTTGTTACTGTCAAAACGATCCTTTGTAGTTAGTAAGACTACAGCTGTTTCGTGCTGCGAATGGAGCACATCATCAGGTCAGAAGAATGTCAAGTAGTCTTCATATTCCTCGCAGTGGAGTTCGTCAAAAGTTTAATAATAAATAGAGAACAAAACACATAACACACGGAAACACGAAACATTTAATATTGGTCGACCAGACGACGGTAACAACACACGTGATACGGCGCCGACGGCACGTGACAGTCGCGACTCACCCTCAACCGGCGCCGTATCACGTGTGTTGTTACCGTCGTCTGGTCGACCAATATTAAATGTTTCGTGTTTCCGTGTGTTATGTGTTTTGTTCTCTATTTATTATTAAACTTTTGACGAACTCCACTGCGAGGAATATGAAGACTACTTGACATTCTTCTGACCTGATGATGTGCTCCATTCGCAGCACGAAACAGCTGTAGTCTTACTAACTACAAAGGATCGTTTTGACAGTAACAAGGTAATTTAAACCACTATATAGTCTATTTTAATGTGACTAGCCGTCGCATATATGCGACGGCAGTCCATGGGTGGAAACCGGCCGTCGCATATGTGCGTCGCTGGTCCATGTGAATGGAAAATTTCGTACTATTGCAGTAGCGAACGTGTTAAACTCCGTTCACAAAATCTAGGCGGTGTTAGGGGAAGAAACCTATCCCCTCCACTTGATTCTACCTTTAAAACAATAGCTCAACAGCTGAGGTTTGCCAAAACATCAATCATCTGCAACAAACTTTAAGTAAAAAAGTAGTGGGTGAACTCCCCCTTAAACTGCCCCCTATGGGAAATTCACGAACAATGACTGTATATGGCAACATGAGCCTTCAGGACAAGTCTTGCTTTCCATCCACTAAGTCAACCATTACAATGTCATTAACTCATTACTTATGATATATACAAGAGTATTTGGTTTATTAAGCGCAAATAGTTCAACTCACCGTTCCCATTTTGTACACGACTCTGATTGTTCGTACATGAAAGTTTGCAAGTTCTTCTTCTTTTTTCACAGAAATATTTAAGTCTCCATAGTTCTCATTACTAACTTTTGCAGACGGCCAGTACTGCATACACATGACCTGTAAAAATTATACATTGCACGATATATATCAGGGTAAATTATTAACATTGACTATATACAGTAATACAGTAGAATTTCAAAACATGTCTCATATGAGGATGATCAAATAAGACTAGTTAACATGGTTGACTTCTTATTAAGGTTTGCAACACCGTAACTGAAATGAAATGAAATGTTTATTTGTCACATAGAATTTACATAATTGTGATACATCACCAGTAAACATATGACACGTCAGTTTTTCTAACAAAATACATGATATTATATATTTTATTTCATTGTAGTTAGTAATACATTAAAAAATAAGGTCAACAGATTAACTAAAGAGAACTAAAGAGTCGTATAAAAACAAGTGTGTTTGAAAATGATTTTTTTTATCTAGGGTCACATGTTATCGAGAGTCTTCTCATTGAGGTTCCATGTATAAGACATTTATATACTTTGGAAAGATAGAGATGAAAATTAGATTAAGTGTGTCTCTAAATAAATGATCGCAAATACAATTATAAACGACTCAAAATTGCCAATGTGAAGCCAAAGAGCAAATGTTTATCACCACTTCTATTTATATACCATTTGTTGCCATATATACATATAATTTTTTTACATCAGCTAAACAGATATAGAAATAATATCGTGTACAGGAACAATTAAAAGTTTTATAAATATTTTTTTTTTATTTGCAGTGCTTGTCTAAAACACTCTTAGACCAAATTTCTCATATCAAAGGCCTCATATACTAGACTTCGGTGACAATAGTGGCAAAAACACACCGCTCTATTGGCAAACCAAAACAGCTGCTGTACTAGATTTTTTACACATTTGTTATTACATATTTACAACCATGGAAATAAGCCGGTTGGTGCGGTGTTGCCACACATCAATGCCACGGCCTTGTATAAAGGGCGCTATGTCATTGCAAATAACTCTATATTTGTAAAATGGTTTTCAACACCTACTTAGCCAAAAAAGGGAGATATTTAAATATTTTGGTACAGTTTTAAACGGTTAGTTCAATGGTCAATCGACTACAAGTTGTCAAAGCTGTAAGTTAAGTTTGTGAAACATTTTCAACAAAAGTTGGATGATGTGTAGGGATTGTTTTGTTGGTATACACTTACATTTGATAAACTTAACTGAGTAAACAAGTGACAACGTCCAAATAAGTCGGTAAGGACACAGATTGTTAAACTTTCAGAACAAAACGAGAAATTTAGTTATCGATTTTAATTATGAGTAAAAAGTCTTTTATTTTCCTAGTTTTAATTGGTTCTTACTTTGATAAAGTCGAAAGTTTTCGTCAGCATCACTATACAACTGGCTTTTTCTTGCCAAATCATCCGCCAGAAGTCGCACACAGTCGCCTCCGTTGGACCTTGAGTTACGATGTACGCGTTTGGCTTAAGTAAACTCTGCAACATAGATGAGGTAGTTAAAGAGCAGAAAAGGAAACATTTTATGGTAACATGTCAAGTAATAATACTATACTAGTGTACATGTTGCTCGAATTCGAGCAATTGCAAAGTATTACAGGAGTTATTTCAAAATGAATAACAGTCATATTTACAATGAGTTTAAAAGAGTCAACTCAAAGATTACCGGTGTGTAACTCAGATCATATTTATCTTCGTTATTGATAAACCTAAAGCATTCCGGCCGATTTTCTCCTTCTCAAAGTGCCTCGTTGTACAGGCAATACAGGTTATTGATAGAGGGCCAATTGAGAATGAAAAGTCGTTTTGGGGTAGTGTTAGGGAGCATTTGTTACCTAGTTGAGATTGTCCAGGGTCAGGTGCTGAATGTGATGAGTTAATCCTATATTACCATCGATGTATAATAACTCCCTTTACGCGTCACTGTTCTGTAGCTGCGGTCGTTATCACGATTACGCCTCTTGTCTATGTTTCGTTGTCGTCGCGTCGGAGGCATTTAAAAGGAAAAACAACAAATAAACAAATTATAGCTAGACAAAACAACGATAAATGCACAAATTTAAGTTACAATCATGCTAACTCGATCCGTCATAGCGACACAAAACAACGATAAATACACAAATTTAAGATACAACCATACTAACACGATCCGTCTTGGGGGTTATGTTTACACAAACTCAAATAGTAAATAAATGTACTCAATGCGTTTCATTGAATTGAAAAATAAATAACAGCAATTAAATTATACAGCTGATCAAAATGTAAACAATTATGTTCTTCATAAGGATAACATGGGAACTTTCAAAGCCACTGGGGCAGAGCCCAAGGGGCTTTTTCAAAAATGTAAGGCCAGTTTGCAAATCTACGCGACACGCTCTTTCCAATGAGACGTCAATGGATAAAATCGGTTAAGAAATGGCGGAGGAGTTCAACCGACAAAGTTTCATGTAGCGTATTAATTATATAGACTAGTTTTACCTTTGCCTGAGTCCTACTGAGTGAAATTAATAGAGCTTGTCGTATTATTAAATACAAAATAAAAATAAAATACCCCCGCCGCAGCAAACCTGCAGACTAAGCGAATTTCCATTTGACTGATTGGATTTACACTGAAATGTCTACTTAAAAATATAACATTTATTCTCTATTTAAATAGAATTAGTTTAACTAGTACTTAGGTTTGCTGTATCAGGGAGGGTAAAACTGTTTTTTTTTTTGTAAAACGTTAATAGTTAGTAAGAAATAAAAACATTTTCCAAATTTGATCAAAATATGTTCATAAACAAGCAAACTACAACAATTTACTTATTCTCCATAAGAATAACATGGGAATTTTAAATTTACAATTTTTTGGAATTTTCTCCGTAACCATTAGGCGCATAATAACGCTTCAATATACTAAATTATTTGTTTTTTTAAGCTCTACAAAATGGTTTGGAAAGAAATTGCCAAATTTTATGTTTCTTGGGTCAAAAATGTGAAAAACCTATTTTTACCCCATAAAACCCCCCGTAAACCCCCGTTCCCATGGTCTGATCATGCTGGATCGCGAACTCGTTCGAATAAACGTAGGTTTACACTTTTGTACCAAATTTCATCAAAATCGGATCATTTTTGCTCGAGTTATCGTGCTGACGGACACATATATATATATATATATATAAATATATAAATATATATATATATATATGAATTTGAACGGATGGTGTTTTTGGCCTCTAGGGACCTCAAAATGAAAAAAAAAATCGGTCCCTCGTCCAGGTCATACCATGAGTACTACGGTAATAGCTTATTCCCTATATGGGAAATTCGCTAAAAACTACAAACTGATGAAATTTAAACTAAAATCTCATACCTGAAAACATATAAAACAGGTTTAGATTAGATTAGATGCAAAAACCAACACAATGGAAATAAACGATATCAGGATTCTGATACATACTTTCTCTCATAAGCTTGTCAACACAACCTTTATCATGGGTAAGCGGTGAGAGTAAATATGATATTTTATAGTTAAAAATCACAAAAGTTGCAATAAATTTTGAACCCTAATTGTTTCAGCAATGGGGTGTTGTAAGGCTACTATTTTTTAGAATTATAAGGGCCATAACATACTACGTTAAATCAAAACCGGTATTTTTCTAAAATCCTATTTTTCGTTATTTTATGGGAAAATAATATAATTTACAATAACTTTCGAACCGTAATTTTTATAGAAATGGGAGTCGTACCATTTTGTTCAGAATATGAAGGGCTACAACATACAAAATTTTTATCAACCTCGTTCAGGCCATTTTTAAGAAAATCTTATTTTTCTGTTATTTTATATAAAATATGCTTACTTTAAAAGTAAAAAAACTTTAGTTCAAGAGATCTAAAGTTTAAATTAGATAACAAAACACAATTTATCCATAACCAAGTAATAAAAAGTCTGTATAACTTTGATTATATCACAGTCCAATAAAACGAGATAAAAACTTTTCAACGACATCTTCCTCTCCAAGTACTTTTCAATTATTCAAAGCCACGCTTGGATTTAATTTACTGTGTAGGTTGTCTGATCAATTTTAATTTATTTTTCTTTCTATACAGTTTTCTTTTCTCTATAAATTCCTTTAAATCTTCCTCAGTTCATTAAACTCATATTCTTTAGTTATTATTTTGTTTTGAAAGGGGGAAAATATTACTTAAACACAATTAATAATCATAACTATATGGTAAGCAGTGACGTAACCTTAAGCCTAATACTTCCATGTACAAAATCCTAAACATCCTTTTAACTTTATACTTTGTTTTTTTATGTTATGAGGGCAGTTTTTTAAAGTAAAGGCCGATTTTTGCGTATAAACCCGTAGTTCACTTGTACCCTGCTACAATTAAGGCTCCTGGCCACATACTTACACTAAATTTAGGACTTGCCCCCCCCCCTATAACAATTTTTAGCTGGGGTCCTGCTTAATGGCATCATTTTGTGAACAGAATGACATCTTTTGCAACTCTGTAGCTGAGATGTCGTCAAGTGACTGAAGGCTACGCAATAACAGCCCTTACTTTAAAAACCACCCTCGTAATTTCATTATTTTAATTGAAAAAAATTATATTATAATATTATAATAATTTAACTTTATTAAAACTAAACTATATCCAAAAATAACATAAAAATGAATTTACGTAAGGTTGTAAAAAAAAATTCACTAATATGCATTAAAAATCCACAAAATTCACTACGACCTTCATCCATATAATTCCTTTATGATGAAAATAATCTGCAACTAAACAAATATAAGCTATCTTAGTATTTAATAAACCGTCTCTAATATAAAAAATACAAGACAAGTTTGCAAAACTTTTTTTAGATTTCTCGTTAGAATTGGTTTAATACAATTATTAGTATCCTTACAGCCCTGACTGTACCAAACTAGATTTTAAAATATGCTGACTTAAGATGATAATATTTGTTTGAAATTTCACGTTTTTTAGTTAATTAGGGAAAAATACGATATAATTTTATGAACCACCATCTTAGAGAAAAAGGAAATATGACTACGAAACGAACATCTCTAATATTTGATTAATGCAGTACAGTTAATTAAAAACATCCATTAAATATTTAAGTAGCTAATGTAACAAATTGAAAAGAACATTGTTTTACATTAAAAATATTTAATTTTAGCGGTCAAAAATCAGAGTAATCCTAAGCATATTGATGGATAAAACATAGAATTTGAATAAGTTACTTACATCTACATAGGAAGCATTAACATAGTCAGAATCTGGCATGTCAGGCGATTTATCTAACACAACACGATTGTAATCATCTGAAACAAAATAAAAATATGTTAGTTAAAAATGTTATTCAACTTCATCAATACACCAAAATTAAATTCCTTAATGGTGTGTGAACAAGTGAAATTAATCCTAATTGATAACAAAGCAGCAACGAAAGAAAAAAAAACAATGTGTTAGAAATGCATCCATACAGGTAAAATAATTGAAACTATAATAAACTGCCAATGAAAAACATATTTTCAACTATAAAACGTATTAAAATATATAAGTTAAATGTATTAAGAACACACAATACGTTAATGTATTTCCATACTCATAAGCGAGTACTTTGCTTTCTCAAATCAGTGAGAGAACATGTACATTGTTGGGTAACTGTAGGAAATAGTTTTGATCAAACATATGTATTGAAATATTGTTGAACAATTATTTTCACTAATTCTGATTCAGCACTCCTTGTAATGTGGGTTTTTTTTTCAAGGGCCTTGGTTTACCTTTTGGTATACAATAAACAACACATATTTCCTGATGGTAAGAGCTCTTCCCTAGAGCACGGACTTGCAGTTCGGTGGAATACTATTCCTACCAATCATCATGTATCCCTGTATATTTCTCAAGCTGAATAAAGTGATTTTTGATTTGATTTGATTTGTTTGACATTAATATATATATTTTCACTTGTGGTTATTTTTGCAGTCAAATTTAATCATACATATTTTAAATTCAAGTATAAATATATATAAAGGTTTAACCATAGATATTTTGTCAAACTTAAAGTTAGGTAGAAGGAATATTTTAAGAAAAAACCCTATGAAGGTCTTATATACACAATCAACAACTGAGTAAAAAAAACTGTAGTGTTTTATTTGATTTAACACATTTGTCACATAAAAACACCGTAAATCACAGCAAGGTTTGCAGTTCAAATTCTGTATCTAGATTGTGTTCAACGGTTCAATGCGCCAGTAAATAACCCGATTTGATTCTAATCATGAGACTAACTGATGCTTACACCTTACGGTAGAGTAATTAGTGAAAGCCAACACATTTCAGATATCACAACAAACCTCGCTGTCGTAAACCTACCAAAAAAACCTGTTTAACGTTTAAAAAATTAACAAACGCAAAGTTCTGCTGGATTGTAATAATTTGCTTAAAAACGAGAATAATTTACTACATTGAATTCTATATTATTAAAGAAATAATCAGCCAATCGTACACACATGACTGGACAGTGATGTATTGGTCATGTTGTTGGTAGACACTACTGTGACTGTACACACAACCAGAGTCATCACTGGTGATTGACAACAGGTTAATTACCTCAGTCTGTGGTACACACGGGACTGGACAGTGATGTATTGGTCAAGTTGTTGGTAGACACTACTGTGACTGTACACACAACCAGAGTCATCACTGGTGATTGACAACAGGTTAATTACCTCAGTCTGTGGTACACACGGGACTGGACAGTGATGTATTGGTCAAGTTGTTGGTAGACACTACTGTGATTGTACACACAACCAGAGTCATCACTGGTGATTGACAACAGGTTAATTACCTCAGTCTGTGGTACACACGGGACTGGACAGTGATGTATTGGATACGTTGTTGGTAGACACTACTGTGATTGTACACACAACCAGAGTCATCACTGGTGATTGACAACAGGTTAATTACCTCAGTCTGTGGTACACACGGGACTGGACAGTGATGTATTGGATACGTTGTTGGTAGACACTACTGTGATTGTACACACAACCAGAGTCATCACTGGTGATTGACAACAGGTTAATTACCTCAGTCTGTGGTACACACAGGACTGGACAGTGATGTATTGGTCAAGTTGTTGGTAGACACTACTGTGATTGTACACACAACCAGAGTCATCACTGGTGATTGACAACAGGTTAATTACCTCAGTCTGTGGTACACACGGGACTGGACAGTGATGTATTGGTCATGTTGTTGGTAGACACTACTGTGACTGTACACACAACCAGAGTCATCACTGGCGATTGACAACAGGTTAATTACCTCAGTCTGTGGTACACACGGGACTGGACAGTGATGTATTGGTCAAGTTGTTGGTAGACACTACTGTGACTGTACACACAACCAGAGTCATCACTGGTGATTGACAACAGGTTAATTACCTCAGTCTGTGGTACACACAAGACTGGACAGTGATGTATTGGATACGTTGTTGGTAGACACTACTGTGATTGTACACACAACCAGAGTCATCACTGGTGATTGACAACAGGTTAATTACCTCAGTCTGTGGTACACACAGGACTGGACAGTGATGTATTGGATACGTTGTTGGTAGACACTACTGTGATTGTACACACAACCAGAGTCATCACTGGTGATTGACAACAGGTTAATTACCTCAGTCTGTGGTACACACAGGACTGGACAGTGATGTATTGGTCAAGTTGTTGGTAGACACTACTCTGACTGTACACACAACCAGAGTCATCACTGGTGATTGACAACAGGTTAATTACCTCAGTCTGTGGTACACACGGGACTGGACAGTGATGTATTGGATACGTTGTTGGTAGACACTACTGTGACTGTACACACAACCAGAGTCATCACTGGTGATTGACAACAGGTTAATTACCTCAGTCTGTGGTACACACAAGACTGGACAGTGATGTATTGGATACGTTGTTGGTAGACACTACTGTGATTGTACACACAACCAGAGTCATCACTGGTGATTGACAACAGGTTAATTACCTCAGTCTGTGGTACACACAGGACTGGACAGTGATGTATTGGATACGTTGTTGGTAGACACTACTGTGATTGTACACACAACCAGAGTCATCACTGGTGATTGACAACAGGTTAATTACCTCAGTCTGTGGTACACACAGGACTGGACAGTGATGTATTGGTCATGTTGTTGGTAGACACTACTGTGACTGTACACACAACCAGAGTCATCACTGGTGATTGACAACAGGTTAATTACCTCAGTCTGTGGTACACACAGGACTGGACAGTGATGTATTGGTCATGTTGTTGGTAGACACTACTGTGACTGTACACACAACCAGAGTCATCACTGGTGATTGACAACAGGTTAATTACCTCAGTCTGTGGTACACACGGGACTGGACAGTGATGTATTGGTTATGTTGTTGGTAGACACTACTGTGACTGTACACACAACCAGAGTCATCATTGGTAAAAACTTAAATTTAAAAAAATAATTTTTTTCTTTATCAGAATTGAATAGTTGATCTTGAATTTTTGGATGGATTCATTTGGTGAATTATCCACATCTATACTATCGGTAATTGTATTTAATAGTTATAATTGGATATAAAAAATCATCATTGTTGAAACAGGATGTTGACTTGACCAAAAGTGATGCAAAATCGTTTTTCCTACCAGGCTGCTAATGATCCAATCATGAATAAACCAAACTTCCTATTAAACAGTCTCATTGAAGATGTTTTCCCATAAAAGAACTAGCTATAAGCTATTTTTAGAGATTTCCACTGTCTGATCCAACAAAGAAATTTTGCGAAATGCCGTTAAACTCTGTTTACCTAAATCACTTTGGTCTTTGTGTTTTAAAGGAGCTATAATTAGATTGGCTTGCATAAAAGCGCTTTTACGCTACATTTATGTCAGAACATTTAGGAGAATTGTTCAAGTCAAGTAAGGCAGTTGCTTTTATCGTAAAATATTTACAGCATGGAATACCAGCGATATTTGTCATTCTTTGAAGCTGATCACATTCAAGGCGATAAACTTTGTATTTATTTTATATCTGTGAAACAAAACGTTTGTGGAAGTTTATCTAAACAATGAAACTTTTGAGCTTGCACGATAATTCTTTTTCAAAGTTATTGTGGCGATATAAGGGTAGGGATCTCTTAAAATAAATTAAGTTTTAATCGCATTGGAGACCTACCCTGTCACCCTTTATGTTTACGAGATTCGAACACTAACCACAGCGTGATAACAGATTGATAAAAGCTATGAATACAACGTGATGTATTTTGCACAAACATATTCTTCTCTACAGTAATTTGCGACGTATTTAGAGCAAAGCACCATCCAAGAGGTAATAAAAACCTTGTCTATACTTATTTATTGTTTGGTGTAGTTTATACTTAGGAATATAAAATGTATACAAAATCTAGTTTGCACGTATTAGGTTAATCTAAAAAAAAGATTGTGTGATATATGTAGAAAATATCTGAAATAAGGTAATTTAAATAAAAAAATCTAGGGATAGCCCCCTTCATTTTGTAAAGGTAGCATGCAGCCTAAGGCAATTACAAAATTTCAAAACAAAGATTTATTTTCCTATAGCTGCCTGACAAAGCAGGCTTCCTTGCACTGATTATATCACGCACGGTAGCTTATTGCTGCATTTACTTACTTTTGCCGCACTCATTTTACTCACTCCTGTATTTCAAACAAACAACACAAAACAGTGTGTTTTTATAATGTGTTTTTTTTTAACGCTTGAAAATACGATGGCAAAACTTTAAGGTTACAACTACAATCAGCTGATGCATGGTTTCACAGCCTTTTACATTTTGATACTACGATTTTTCTGCTATTCTATTTTCGTCCAAGGCTTGGATTAAACTAACCTTAAACGTCTTGTTTAGACTAATTATTTATACTAGAGGTCGTCCAGTGAAAACTCGACTAAAAATATGTAACGTTGTAAATAAAACAAGTAATTTCTTCTATTCGTTTTGATTTTCTGTTTATATTGTGTTGTTATTTTGTCACCAGCATGGCAACACATAATGACCCATGTTCATTTTTTTCATTTTTAATTAATTTTTTGTGCTCTTTTTTGGGTCTATATAAATTTATGAAGAGATCCACATCCACATGAAAATATCTTTCCAACAGTATGCGTAGATTTTCCCTGCGATGCTCACGAGCAGAGGAAAGAGGTTTTAGAGTGAAAATTTAAAAACGTACGTTTTCATGTCCCTGGCCTTTTACTTCGTAGATACTGGATTTGTAGTATATTATTATGTGTTTTAATATTTTTTGGGACGGAGGCAACATGTTACACACATTTATTTGGTTTTAAATAGGTTCTAGGTATTTTTTTCCTTTTTTAAAGTCTCGAAATTCACGACCATGACGTGTCCCTAGGGTACATTTTCCAACTTTCACGCTGTTTTTAGACTAATTATTCATGCCAAAATATATGAAGCCATATTTTATGTCATCAGTGGTTATTAAACTTACAAAAAAGGAACCAAAAGCTCAGTGACCTTTTTATTTTATAATGGTCATAAAAGCAAATTAGTTTATAGCAAAACATAGTTATAAAAATAATATTAACCATTTTTAATATTCATTTAAACGTCCGTTATGGTCGTGACAGGATTTTGTGTTTTTCTACTAAAGATGCTCTTTAAAAAAAGATATTGCGTTACAATGGACATTTTATGAAACTTCAAATGTTAATGAAATAAAAAAATAATAAAAGTTTTGAAAAAAGGGAAAACAAATTTGCAAGGTGCTTTTCCTGAAAACGTACGTTTTTAAATTTTCACTCTTTAAAGAAACATGCTTGCCTATTAATATTATAGAAGCGGCTGCAAAGTGTCTCGGCTACATTAGTTACTCGAATAACTATTGTTTAAATATTTCAATAATTAGCTAATTGAAACTGTGCTACATAAAACAATTACTATCAAACACAATTTAAAATTTATTATTAGGGTTTGTGAAAGTACTTGTGGAATCTCAGTAGATGGCTGCAGCATGACACTATCATGAACTAATAACAGGCTTAATGTGTCTTCGTCATTAAAGTTGACAGATGATTTAGTGTATTATTTGTGACCTTGGTCACTAGAAGCGTCATCCAGTACTCAGCCGTTGTAATGGAATAGGGAGCAATGTGGGAGCAATTTGGCAACCCTTATGCGTAAGGTAGTTATTTGCTCTCTTAAGCCTGGAAGCTGAGTATCGCTTTAGCGGAGCTTAAAGTTCCTTCTATTTCTAAATTAAAATAAGCTTTAACATGTAGGTATCTAGATAACATCGGAAATAAAAGAGAATTTTACCATGGATTTCATTCAATAGTTTTCAAATCAGGCTAGTACCTAAACACATTCGACTTACACTAAACTTTGTTACCACTACAAGAAATTACCCCTATAGCTTCGAGAAAATGTTAAAACATGGTTACTTACAAGGAATGCACTTGGGGTTCTGGTTCTTTTCTTTGTTGGCCGGTTTCAGAGCATGTCTACACGAATGCGTTTCCACCTTGCATGCAGTCTGGAACATAAAAAAATGTGTAAGAAGAGCACCATAGAGAAGTAATAATATAAGAAAAGCTAGGTAATTTTAAACATATTGCAGTTGACTGTTTTGAAAGGGTTGTTCGGTCCTAGAGTGCTAGGTTCGTCTATGTTTCAGGATAGGGGTTGCAGCATTATCACTGAGACTCGTTGGGGATTGGCAGGATTTGAACACGGGAACTCAAGGACCAAAGTCCCGTACTCTATCTCTAGACCAGCTGGCTCCCCAGTTAAAGGTATTTATTGTCTGTCACACATTAGATATCATATGAACTGATATTGGGGGAATTTGTGGCTTCATGCTTGGTGGTATTTTTACACAATCGATCTGAAATTATTGGAACTATGACCCAGATCAGTTCCATAGTTGCTATATAAAACACAAACATTATTTAATACAGTAAATTAATATGCATTTGATGTAAATAAATGGACATATTTATAATTTCTGTTGACTATTTTGTAAGGCCCCTTAAGATGTATAAAAAATAGAACAATTTTGAAGATTTTCGTTGAAACCTTTGCTCCGAAAATTAATTAAAACCACCATTTTAAGATAGCACATCAAAAAAATTGGTTGATATATAAACGTGAAATAAAATTAGATGGATTTAGGGAAATTTCAAATGCTTCTAATGCACCATTAGCAAAGCTTAATCGGAGATTTTAGCTCTTGATCCAAAGTCAGAGAAACAAAGAAATGTTAAATAATCAGTGTTTTGAAAATTGCATAAATTAGACCACAATCTTCCATGAATATGCAACATGAAACGTAAAACAACCTTGTTTTATGGAAATGTTGGTTTTACGCCTAAAGAAGTTTAGCCAAAGACGGTTTTAATGAATGTCGAGCAGGCTTTCGCAAAAAAATGTTGACTTTAGACAAAAGAAGAGATTTAAAATTATTTATAACAGGCGTGCACCAACATTGTAAACTTTCTTAATCCAATATTGCGAGTTGTAATAGAAAATTCAGTTATGTGTGAAGTTCTATTGTGTGAAAAGCAATCGTTATTACAAAATATTATATGGATCCCAATAACCCAGGAAATTGAATAAACCCAATATATAAGGATGGAAACCAATTTAATAATGGCCACTGAATAAAAACCGAACATATATTGTATTTCATTGGGTTGGTTATATGCCAACTTAAAACTATGGGCCTTTATATCAATAATAGTATTGAACAGCATATCATTTGAAAGATTATGAAATGGCCAAGTTTTTTTATGCATTTAAACATTGCATGGATGCAGGTTTATGTATCAAAGTGGGCTCTTGAAAATTATCGTAGTTAATTAATTTATTGCAATTTTTACTTTATTTTGGACATAACATGGACTATGTAATGGTATAATTGTTGAATGAAACCTTTGATTTATAGCATATTTAATATTCTTTCCAATGATTTCAACTATAACTCTCTAAAGTAATTGGTTAAGTTTTTATTACATAAATTGTGGAGCAAAGTCAAATAAAATAAGAAAAACACAAAATCCCCTATTACAGCCAAACGGTTGAAAATTGGACACGGGTTTACAGGACCTTTTTTGTTCCTTTTAGTAAGTAGAACCTACTGGTGAAGTAAACACGCTCAGTAGAAACTCACCCTGTATAGTTCAGCGTTATCAAATAACAATGTGCAAGAACCTGTGAATCTATCCTTGTGCAAACTATTGTCAGTTTTGTAAAATATGGAAATAGAGTTTAATAATTATTTAATTAATAAATAACCTAATGCCAATAGTACCTCTATCTAAAATTCATTTCCCTTAGAATCGAATTAGTAACCTTAAGGGTTGAAGGCGGGCCACCACATGGATACCAAGACAACTGAAATGAACGGTATCCGCAATCTGACACATACTTCTTCTCTGGCATGTAAACAACCCTTAACATTGACAAGTGGTAGGAGTAACTAAGGTATTTATGGGTAGTTGCAATACATTTCGAAACCTTATTTTACAGCATTGGGGGGTCTTATGATTTTTAGGCATAAAAACACCATAAAATACTATATTTTAATCGAAATAGTTTTAGCCGTTTTTGTAAAAATCTGATTCTTCCAAAATTTTATGGAGTTTTTTAAAAAAAATCATAGGTAATTAAAAATAAATTTTAAAAATCAAAGGAGATACTATAGATTAGTATTCTCCCAAACATTTAGATTAGTATACCACGTACCAAATTTTGCCAAAATCGGAACACAGGTGTAGTATACAGGGTGATTGAAAAGTCTGGGTACGGCTTAATATTTTAACAAATAATGCAGATAGAGCTAAAATACTTGGTACAAAGTTACAGGGCATAAAACTCTATTTTAACACATATTCAGTGATTCAATAACTCTTCAGGGGGACGTCCCACAAGGAGTCAGAAGAAAATCTTAAATGGAAGCATAGGTCAATATGCACGTCAAATTAAAGGTCTTTTTTAGTAAAATACAATGCCGCAAACCGCACTTCAAAAGGTTGATCTTGCGCAAAATGGCAGATGTTCAAAGGTTTCTTGAATCCACCATTTTGAATCTTTGAACGGCTGCCATTTTTTACTCAGGCATTCTTTTGAGCTTGAATTTACGGCATCGTAATCTAAAAGTGAAGACCTTTAATTTGATGTGCATATCGACCTATGCTTACGTTAACAATTTTCTTCCGATTCCTAGGGCTGTGCCCCCTGAGGAGAAAGCGTATAATAGCAATGTAAATTAAATGAATCTTTGAACAACTGTCATTTTGCGCAGGATCAACTTTTTGAACTGCGGTTTGCGGCATTGTATTCTACTAAAAAAGACCTTTAATTTGATGTGCATATCGACCTATGCTTACGTTAACAATTTTCTTCCGATTCCTAGGGCTGTGCCCCCTGAGGAGAAAGCGTATAATAGCAATGTAAATTAAATGAATCTTTGAACAACTGTCATTTTGCGCAGGATCAACTTTTTGAACTGCGGTTTGCGGCATTGTATTCTACTAAAAAAGACCTTTAATTTGATGTGCATATTGACCTATGCTTCCATTTAAGATTTTCTTCTGACTCCTGGCGGGCCGTCCCCCTGAGGAGGTAGCGGATCACTGGATATGTGTTAAAATAGATGTATATGCTTTATAACTTGATTCCAAGTTTTGTAGGTCTACGTTTATTATTTTTCAAAATATTAAGCTGTACCCAGACTTTTTAATCACCCTGTATAGCTCTGTACACATCCACGCACACATGCAACATATATCACTTAAAAGATTTTTTTGTCAGGAGGACTTCAAAAATGGATATTTGCACCCAAAACTCGAATTTAATTTTTTTACGAACACAATACTCTTTCCATTTCGGCTACTATGTATAGGAGGAGGAAGTAAAACGCACAATTTGTGAAATTACAAAGGAACCCATTTACATGAATTATTTAATATCATCCACTTAGCGGTTCAGTTTAAAAAGCAAATTTTTTGATAACAAAATTAACGGACAAAAAATTTGGAGGGAGGAGTTGGTTGGTTTAATTTAGAGTTAATTGCATGACATAGCGAGAATATTTCCTCTAATAGGTCAAATTTGAACATGTATGTCATAGTCGTGCATGTTGTATGTAGAAGATTGTATGAGATCAAGTTGGTCATTGGGAGGACGAGAAGATTCAAACTAGAGTTTATAATTGCATGACATGGCGAGAATATTACCTCTTGATAACTATGTCATATTGGGTCATGTAGTCATACAAGTTGTATGAGATAGGGTCAGCCATTGGGTAGGATGGGATGTTGGTTTAATTCGGAGTTGTCAAATTATTCTAGTCTACAGGACGAGGTAAAATAATTTAGTTGTCAAATAAAAACAATTTTTTACGAAATGATATGGATAGATATTTAGAATCAATACCTAAGTTCTAAGTTGGTATGGATTCAAAAAGATTTAATTTAGGGTTTTATTTAACGTTTTAGTGGAAATGTCTCAGGCGATTGTTTGTTAACGAATTATTTTTTTTTAGAACTATACTTGGAACGATCTAAAGAAGAACAATCTAACGATAAAAATACAATTATTTAGTACGTTTCAAACAATAAATCAATTCATACCTAGCCCATAACAGGAAATAGGTGTAACACAATTAACATTTGTACTTGAATAATTCCCCTAAGAGAGTACTAATGAAACATTGATTTAATTAAGATTTCCCATGATTATGATTAATTAGTGCATGGATAATTTAACATGAAGAAACAACACCTTTTTAAGAGTAAAGAGCAAAAGTCAATTTTTGAATCCTTTTTTTAATTTTATTTTTATTTTGTTTTGTGTTTTGACTTTAAAAGTGCATTACACGTGATAAGAATGTTACGCTTCTATCTGCAAAGAGAAAAACGAATATTCTAGAACAAGTGACATATTGGAAGCAGAAACATAAATGATTTATTCAACGCCCGTAATATATTTGTTTCAGAGGTCGGAGTTGTCTTTACTCAACGCGTGAACCTCAACAAAATAGACAGAAAATATCTCTTTTCAACAATTCGATCCTACAGATAATAAATTAGTAAATTGTCTGCAAACAAATGTTTAATTGTTACTTATGTGCGTTCATAAGTACATGTACAACGATGAAATAAATCATAGGCAATGTCAACAATTTGAGAAGATAAAACAAAGGGCAAATGCAGCCGAAGTGATTAAAAAATTGTATTCACAAGTAAATTTTCTGTCCGCAATTTAATTTCTTATTACTACTTTGCTTCATCCTTAAGAAAATGGTTTTATTCATGGTTTCATCTATCAAGACATTATGGTTCAAGGATCTACGATTATGCGGGAAATGAGTTTCTACGAATGTAGGTGTACAAAAAGCTAGCATAGCGACGATGAAGATCTACTGTTAAAAAGCCTAGTCCATAAAAAGTGCATGGGTTGAAATACTAGGCTACAAAGTGCGCATGGTTCAAGCTTGATAACTGCGTAAAGTTAGCTAATGGAACTACATAT